AACAACCTGATCAGGAATGATATTATCAGCTGATAGACTGGTTGTTCTTACTGCAGGTAAGCAGAGTATGCTTTTAGCCGAGGCCACATTGTGATAGCCGGTCGCTATGAGAGCCATACGTCGTCTCTGCGTCCCTAAAACGATCATTCACAAGATGGTGATGGCCGTAATCCAAGATGGAGACTGGCAAGACGCCAAGCTCCAGGCTTCAAGACTCTAATCCACTAATTAGCTTTCCACCAATCAAAGAGAAGAAGAGGGTTTCAAGAAATGCTGTGAGAGCTTCAGGGTGCAGTCAATGTACCTGGTCATCATGTGGGCGGGGGTAGTCGCTGCAAGCATGTTAGTTTGCGGATGACACCACCCTCATTGGTAACACATGTCCGTGCATGCGCGCACGGGTTTGTATGCACATGTCAGGGTGCAACTGCCGTGTGCAGCGAGGAGTGGACAGAATTCCAGACTTTCTTAGAAGGCCCTGGGGGGGCAGGACGCCCCCTTATTCACTGGTAGGGAAACACTGGGTGTTACTGGTGTAACAGAACCGCCCCCAACGACCTACCTACAAGTTAGATAAACATCTGACTATGCGCCGCTCCCTCTACCACCGTACCACAGTGTGTAACCTTAAGAAATCCTTTTTGCAAACCGAGGATTTCAACAAAAATGTCCTCCTGCCGTTCGCCTACAGAGCCAACAGGTCTGTGGACGATGCTGTCAACATGGCCCTCCACTTCATCCTCCAGCATCTGGACTCCCCAGGAACTGATGCCAGGATCCTGTTTGTGGAATTCAGCTCTGACTTCAACACTATCATCCCGTCTCTGCTGCAGGACAAACTCTCCCAGCTCCACGTGCCCAACTCCACCTGCAAGTGGATCACAGACTTCCTGTCTGACAGGAAGCAGCACGTGAAGCTGGGGAAACATGTCTCAGCCTCTCGGACCATCAGCACCGGTTCCCCCCAAGGCTGCGTTCTCTCCCCTCTGCTCTTCTCCCTGTACACCAACAGCTGCACCTCCAGTCATCAGTCCGTCAAGCTCCTGAAGTTTGCGGATGACACCACCCTCATTGGACTGATCTCTGGTGGGGACGAGTCAGCCTACAGGTGGAGTCTGACCATCTGGTGTCCTGGTGCAGCCAGAACAACCTGGAGCTCAACGCTCTAAAGACAGTGGAGATGGTTGTGGATTTCCGGAGGAACAGAGCCCCACCCTCCCCCATCACCCTGTGTGACTCCCCCGTCACTATTGTGGATTCCTTCCGTTTCCTGGGCTCCATCATCACCCAGGACCTCAAGTGGGAGCTGAACATCAGCTCCATCACCAAGAAGGCTCAGCAGAGGTTGTTCTTCCTGAGGCAGCTGAAGAAATTCAACCTGCCAAAGACGATGATGGTGCACTTCTACACGGCCATCATGGAGTCCATCCTCTGCTCCTCCATCACCGTCTGGTACGCTGCAGCCACAGCCAAGGACAAGGGCAGGCTGCAGTATGTCCTCCGCTCTGCAGAGAGGCTGATCGGCTGCAATCTGCCGTCGCTGCAGGACTTGTTCGCTTCCAGGTCTCTGAAGCAGCTATAAAGATGGTAGCCGACCCCTCTCACCCCGGACAAAACCTGTTTGTGCCCCTTCCATCTGGCAGGAGGCTGAGGTCCATCAGGACTAAGACCTCCCGCCACACCAACAGTTTCTTCCCGTCGGTTCGTCAACAGAACCCGGGTTCCCCACAGACTGACTGTGACATCCCACCGGTCACTCCCTTCACTCTCCACATGCGCACACACATACACACACAACACAGTTGTATAGAGTATAGATATCTGTTCGTTGGTGCAAAAACAAAGAGTGACAGACGAACGGACGACGTGTACACTGGAGATGGTTATTGGACAGGAACAATCGGGGACAAGGCCGTCACAAAGGGGGAGAAACGGAGCGCTGGGGAGTTACACAACAACACAAGAGGCAGGGAAATACAAAATAGAACGACTGCAACAATTTTGTACCGTGCAGAATTTTTTTTCAGGGGAGTAATCTTAAAACATCTCCTGCTACTTTCATGTTACATACATGTGATAGGCATGTAAGCATGTGTGTGCCGTGGTGAGCAGGACATTTCTTACCTTAATGGCTAAAGACTTGTTGGCCTAAAGGCTGGTGGACTTTACAAATGAGGGCCAGATAACAAATGTGGATCCACTAAGTTATGTATTTAGATAAAACACGCATCAGTAAGAAAGCTCAAAATCAATTCATTTGACCTTGGTGCTTCTTTTCCGCTGTACGGCGGTGCAGAGTTGGCCTCCATGTACCTCACAGGCCCGACCTTCTCTCTATGAAAACATACACTCTACAATCTGTGGAAATTGTTAGTTGTCAAACTAGCGCAGGCAGCCAGTGTCTCAAACGTGTTACGCAATTATCTTTGGCAGTGGAGCACAGTAGTTGACATTCTTCATGTATTCTCTATTTATGCTCAATACAAATATTTAGATCTGATGTTACGCCGTACTAAAGGACTAGCAAGAGAAACTTGCCCTGGTTCAGCTGTCCCATGAAAAGTGTAATTAAACAATACTTGGTCCTGGTCTACACGTGACATCCGTGACATCTAGCGACCCCACGAATTCCCTTTCCTGGTGAGATATTCCATGAGTTCATGCTCCACTACGGACCAGTCGGGAGTCTGTCCTGCCTCTGAACTCCCAGAATGTGACACGCTCTCTGCACGTTGGCTTGAACAAGCAACAGCATGTCTTCACCATTAAAAACGAGGAGGAGAAAGGAAAATCTGACTTAACTCCAGTCAAGAAAAGGTTGTAGAGCGTGACGCCCCCTGTGTCGAGATAAAAGCCTAAACGCTGGCACTCTTTCTGCACTCAGCATCAACGTCTAAACCATCTGCGCTGGGCTCCGGACGACTCCCACGCACCCCACAGCGCACACACTCAAGTATTTCTCACTGAGCCACCAAGTCCTGTTAAACGCCTCTGATGTGGAATTATTCTGACTCACTAGCTCGGCAACAGTCATAAACAACACGCAACGATTTCTCAAAAAGGGAATATTTGGATATTTGTTTTCAGAGAAACAGATCCAAAGGATATCTCCTCTGGTACACAAACCCCGAGTTTGTTATTCGGACGCCTGCTGAAGAATATGTGATGTGTAACTGCTCATGGTTTCTTAACCAGACGTGAGCAGTGAGACAAACACAATGTGGACACCTCTGGCTAGTCGCTCGTCTGCTCTGATGGCCGTAACAATCCGGTCCATAATGTCGGTGCGTCGATGGGAACGTGGTCCCGTCTCCTGACGTGGAGTCCTTGGTGGAGGTTGGGGCAGCGCGCACGGAGAGGGTCCTCATGGACCAGGACTTCCTCACTCGGGGACCATCCTTTGTGTTTTCGGGCCGGTCACACGCTGCCGGCACGGCAGTGAACCATGGCACCACTTTATTGGACTTTTGTTTAACTTTTGCTTATTGACTTTGTTGCAGCCGCAGACTGGATGCGTGTGTCTATGACTAACTCCATTGGCATTCACTTCCTTTGACTCACTTGTCACATGTTAACAGAGGTTGTGCAAATCATAAGACACGCTCACTGTTTGCTCTCTCTTCCTCTCTCAGTGGCTCTCCACCATCCAAACGCACACGCAAAATATGGAACCAGTTATAACAGAAGACTGATTTTTCTACAGCTGGCGTGTCTCACAATTATGTGTAAATGTGACAATAAATGAGTCATTTGAGCCCCTGTTGGTTCTAACAAAGGATCTCAGTCATTGTTGAGTGGGTTTGCTTTTACTTGTTGGGGGATTCCCTCAGAGGCAAATCAATTTCTGACTTTTTTAGAAGTAAGAAAAAAAGCAGAAAGCTTACAAAGAAAGTTTCCCACAAATGCAGTACTTTTGGCCCAAATACATGGAATATGCAAATTGGAATTTTTTTTAATGGTAATATTAAGTCTTTTGGAATAACTTTCATACAAAGGTCATTGGTGAAGCTCAGATCTGTTATTAGTGCTGCAATCTGCCATGTTCAACTTAAGAATGAACACTTACCAGGTCGTAATTAGTTACAAAACCTTAAAGTGCTGACGATGCTCATTTAGAAGCTCCTTTTTGTTGCCGCTGGGCTTCATGCACAACATAGTTGTGGTAAAGTAGTGAAGCTGCAGCCGAGTCTCTAGGAGGCTGCACGGGGCGATCCTGCATCCCCAGATGGACTGTCACAATCCTTTCTGAAGAACACCTCAAACACAACACGGACACAACTACAGAGCCCAGCGACACGCCAACGGCCCCCCGCACATCCAATGCAACAAACATCTGGCGGGTCAGGTGACATGGAATACTGCAATCAGGCGACTCCTGATCTAACTTGTTCATTTATTGTAACAATGAAGCATTACGTGACATATTTCTCTATTTGTGCATTAAAGCAATATGATCTATGGATTTATGGATTTAGTTTAGGCCCTTAATCCCCGTAGCGTCACCACAGAAGGAGACTAAAGTCATGAGAGGAACCAGGATTTACACTAACCGTGTTCTGTGCGCCAGCACGAAAACAGTTTAGGTTCAAATGCAAACTGGATGTATGTCATTGCCCACATAAACTAGTAACATGCAGTTTAACATGCGCCACGGTTCATTTGGAATTATCAGTCATGTTACGCCTGCTGTGCTTATAACACACCTATTAAGTAAATATGAATCCATACTTCGTTTGGTGACAATTCCAACCCAAAGGGATGAAACCCGTATTTTCCACTCGTTTTACATCAACAGGTTCCACCCTGGGTGTGGACCCCCCAGTCAGACAGACAGGAGGGGGCTTCATCTTCCGCATCGGTACGTCGACCCCTGAGAAAGGCTGCACACTTGTGAAAGTTCTTGGTGCGAGACAACGTGACGTCACGCCACCGCCGAGGCGATGACGTGGTCCGACAAAGGTCCCTCGTTACGCTTCTTTCAACACACTGACGTCACTGACCTGTTAGCAGCGCGGTGGGCATCACAAGGCAGTAGAGCACCGCCACGACCACCTGTAGATCCATGTCACGTGTCCCGATGATCAACCCCCGGGCGGATCAATAAGTGCCCCCCCGGGCGGGGCCCGGCCGGCCGGACGCACGCGGCCCCACCGGGCTGCAAAGACTCGAAGTGGCAGAGCGACACTGGCTCATTATCGCGCATCCAAACGGGAGGAAAACTTCCGGAGAAAGTGCTCAAACAAAGTTCCCAGTCATGGACGGGCTGCCGTCCCGCCGCAGGCCGACTCGTCTCTCCCCGCTCGCCCGGGACGGGGCCGCTTTAGCCGCTGTGCCGCTTCGGAGAGGCCCGGCGTGAAGCAGCAGCGCTGTAGGTGGAAAAAGTGATTCACGGAGTCGGTGAGAAGGGCGTTCATAGAGGAGCTATTCTCCATGCCCCCCCCCCCCCTCCTCTCTCCCCTCTCCCCCAGCAGCCCGCGTGCACGCGAGCCAGCACCCGCCGCGCGGGCCGCACGCATCAAAGGGTCTCACGTGGGGGGGCTTTAGGTGGTTGGGGGGGCATTCGCATGTTTGGCTCGTGTAAAGAGTAACTTTTCTGACATGACAGCGTCAATCAATACGAGTCACTAGAGGACCCTGTGGGGGTCAGTGGCGCCCCCCGGCGTCCAAATGAACGCTGCACAAGGCGGCGTGTGGAACACGTGGGGCGTGGGGGTCCGCGTTGGTGCTCGTTAGATCGGATAAGATTGGGTACCGATGACGTCAGTGCATTTTTATGAGTAGGAGGTCCACGACCCACAGGACGCTTCGGAAGTCCATCACCCAAAATGAGCATTCAAGAGAATTCATGGGTAATATTATACTATAGGGATTATACTACTATAGGGAATCATTCTGGTCACATTACATCACATTACATCACATCACGTGTCATTTAGCTGACGCTTTTATCCAAAGCCACTTACAAGGATACAAACTCAGTAAGCAAGAAACAAGAAAGTGCCATTTCATCCAATAAGCCGATGTACAACTTGCTACAGATAAGGCGGAAGATGTAAAGGCTCATGGATGAAGAATATGGCATCCACACATCATCATCATCATCATCATCATCATCGTAAATGAGTGTAAAGTTCCCTTTTTCATTGAATTCTCCGTATGCTGCGTTGTGCTCAGGAGCTTCTGATTCGAGTCTGACTCGTGTTGTTGTGGCTGCATAAACATCATTTTTTGATGTTTTCCAAAAACAATATTTATAATTCTGTTATTTTTTGTGACAGAAAAATAAAAATGTATTCAAAATAACAATATCCAACCAGCTGTTATGGCAGCCGGGCATAAGAATGTGTCACGACAGTAAGTAATGATGTGCTGGTGACGTCACCTCACTGTCACAACACAAAACAGGTTCCCCTCCGAGAGCTCCACACCCAACAACATGGTGCAAACGCACAACCCCCGCAGAACTGCTCCGTTCACAATCACAACCGGAGCTCTTTGGCAGGATAACGTGTGAAAAGAGCCCAGTGATTCAATTATTTTTACTCCATTCAAGTCAGTATAGGCCTGAAGCAGAAGGTAGCCAGTCAATAAAAAGCTCTGTAGACACTTTAAAATATGTGATCAGGCCTCAGTGAGTGAACCCATTGGCATGCAACTGATCATAATTCACTTAGCATTTAGTATCACAAGCCGTGTTTTCCACCGCCGTCAACTACACATGACATTGTCACTATTTGTAGTTTACATACAAATGATTCGCACATTATGTTTGGGATTTGTGGAGTAGAATTTAAAACAATCATCTGATAGAAAAGTTTGATATATACCTAAAACATGTTTGTTCTGCAAACGTTCTATGGGGTTTTTATGCTCCTTTTTGTAAGATAAATGAATGTGAACACGCTGTGAAGAGAGAGGAGAACCTGACATGTAGACACAACTGTTCTTTCTCATCATGTTTGCTGAGCAGTTTTTCTTGGGACTTCACTTATGGAACCATTGCAAATTCAAATCCTTCAGGCTTCTTCATCTCTGCTACACGGTGCGAGAATACATGACCTGTATGTGACATGGCCGTTAACACCCATGATCAGTGTGAGTGGGGGACTTGTTGGTGTCAGTGAGTAACTTTAAGTGGTCAAACTACTCATAAGCACAAAGTATGTGATTAAAGGGCCGCGGAGCTGATGTTTGGAGGTGTGGCAAATAGATTAAGAGATGATTAACGCAGCGTACTGAAATGTAAATGCCCTCATTCAAACGGGATAATGCTGTGTTGCATTAATCTCACCATTGATCGTGACAACATGTGAGGCCAGCTGATGGTCGTACAAAAAGATTAGAGACATTTAGTTGCGTTTAGTTGTATATTGTATATAAATCATATATATATATACAACTAAACACAACTAAATGTCTCTAAATATTTTTGGATATATATATATACATCATATATGTATATATATATATACATTTATATATATAAACATTTTATGCTGCTCTGTCTGCTAAATGAGAAGATTGAATAGCTTGTCATCCATTAACATTTTAGAAGTTGATAAAGTATGAAGATCAATAGTTAAAGAGGCGTCTGACATATTAAATAAACCATCATTTAATGTGTATGCTTTTGTAACTCACGTATGTATTTAGGATTTGTTGTACTGAGATAATACAGAAGGACGAGTCAGTGACATTGTTTCAGAAAGCACTGATCAAATCAACAAGTCGTCTGCTAGTGTTAGTGAATGCCTCTTTAATCAGTGTGGCCCCGCCCTCTCCCTACTGTCCGATGACGTAGCCAGACGAGGCGTGGCCTTGTTGATTTCGCGCGAATTTCCTTTCTTCTTCCTGTGAAAAGTTATTATGACCGGAACTCTTCGGCGGCTGGACAGTATTTATACGCTTACCGACCGCCGGGGCCGGTAGATTGGGGTTTATATCGCGGCAGCGTCATGTCTCAAGCCCGGGTCACCGACTTCTTTTGCCAGAGGAAGAAAGGAGTCGCCGCTCCGCTCAAACCGAGCAGGCAGCGCGACGCCGCCGGCACGAGGTCCAGGTCCTCCGAAAGCCGCGGCGCGTCGCTCTGCTCCTCCTCCGTCCGCGACGAGTTCGTCCGGGTCATCGACGAGGCGGCGGAGCTCAACGACGGCCGCAGCACCGCGAAAGACCCCCCCTCCGGTCCGCGGACCCCGAAGCGGGCCCCGGCCGAGACCCAGTTCGACCTCGGAGCCGCCGTGTTCTCGGCCACCGCGAACCACAGCACGGCCAAGAAGAGACGGCAGGAGGCCGGCCCGGACCCCGCGGGCAAAGCCCCGGAGAAAGCGACGAGGACGAAGGCCAGGAAGAAGCTGGTCCTCCATCAGAGCCCGCAGGTCCCTACTAGTAACTGCTGCAGGGATCTGCACCGCTGCGGTTTGCTTGTAAAAAACAAAACCCTGTTGTGTTCAACGAGTGACCCTGTGTTGTGTGTCCAGGCTGTAGCCAGGCCCCGGCCCGGGGAGGAGGCCCAGCAGCACCCTGGTTCTGGACACAAAGCGGACGACCATCTCCTCCAAACCAACAGCCAGAAAGCCAAAGGACCGGAGAGCCAGGTAACGCGTTGGACCTTCTGACCTTTGACCCGTGGATGTAACGAACGACCTGCTCAGCATGTGAATTCTCTTCTTCCAGGCTCTGAGTAGAGATGACATCGCAGCCCTCAAGTCTCGCCTGCAGAGGATCAAGAAGAACGCGCCGGCCCCCGCTTCCCCGCCCCCGTCTGCAGGCCATCCAGCGCCTCACCAGACGCCTCCGCTTGGTCCCGAAACCGCCGCCGCCGCCGATGCAACGGCCCTCAAGTTGACCGTAGCACGCGTCAAAGAGCTCGCAGCTAAAGCTCAGCAGAGGAAGCAGGACAGGGAGGCCGAGACGAGGACGGCCGACGCTCACGACAGGTGAGTGTCTTTCCGTGTCCTGTCCCGTGCAGGCGGGACGCCACCAAACCAACCCCAAGTGTCCTTGTCGTTCCTCAGTGCGGAGCAGCCAGCATACCAGCGGTACCACACTCTCGCCCAGGCGGCCCCCCCGGGCCTGTCCCTGCCTTTCCAGTACAAGGTCCTGGCAGAGATGTTCAGGAGCATGGACACGGTGGTCGCCATGCTGCACAACCGCTGTGAGACCGCCACTTTTGCCAAGATCAAACAGGGAGTTCAGGACATGATGCACAAGTAAGTGAAGGTCTGCAGCTCAAAAATTTGGGGCTATTGTGGGCCTCTATTTCTTCATTTAAGAAGGTCCGAGCGTGAGCCGACAGTCACGCTGCTGATGCCAACGCCTGACCGCTCCTCCTCCTCCTCACAGGCGCTTTGAGGAGAGCCACGTTGGTCAGATAAAGGCCGTGTTTCCTGAGGCCTACACGTTTCGACAGGAGAAGAACGTCCCGACCTTCAACAGCAGCACGAAGAAGGGCCGCTGCCAGCTCACCGTGGAGCCCGTCCATCGCGTGGGTTCGTACCAGGAATGCCGCCGCTCGCACGTGGTCAGACGGGACGTCTGGGCCGTGGGTGTAGACGTGATGTGTCATCTGCATCTCTTTAATAACTCCGCAGACGGCACCGGCGCTCGCCCCGTCCTGTCGGCCTCCTCCCTCCTGGAGAGAAGACAAGTCTTCCACCTGAATCTGGTCTCCATCGTCAAAGAGCACCACAAGGTCCGCAGCTTATTCTGTTAGCTGTTTGGGAACTGCGCTGCCGTAGTTCGTCTTTACCATCCGTTAACATGTGGTGTGTAGATTTTATTTCAGCAACAATGTTTCTGGACCCGTCTGCCCGCAGGTCTTCCTGTCCTCGTTGGTTCCTCCAGTGTCTGTTCCAGAAGACAAGCTGACCCGCTGGCATCCTCGCTTCAACGTGGACTCCGTGCCAGCCGTCCCATCCAGCTCGCTGCCGCAGCCTCCCGACAGGGACCGAGTGTCCACCGCTCAGGAGGTGCTTGAAAAGGCCCGCTCGCTCATCACTCCCAAGGTACGGCGTCCGCTTTCTGGCGTTGGGAGTAAATGTTTGATTTCGTGGTGCCGGCTGACGAGAACATGAATCCATCACCCGTCTGTCTTCTTGTCCTGCGTTCAGATGGAGAAGGCTCTGGTTTCTTTGGCTCAGAAGACTATGGATGCGTCCACAGAGTCCGCGTCCCCTCAGAACCCGGCCGCCCCCAAAGCGCCCGCGCCATCGAGCGCGGCGGCAGCGCCGGTCCCAACGGCCCTGAAAGGAGTGTCCCAATCACTGCTTGACCGGGTAGGTGTCCCGGGAAGGGGCGGGGTGTGTTTGATGTCGGCTTTGGCCCATCCAGGAAGACCGTGCCTTAATCCGCTTGCGTTTCAGATCCGTGCCAAAGAGGCCCAGAAGCTCCAGGCGGCAATGACACGGGACCCCAAACAAGAAGAGCGCCTGCTGATGCTGTCACGGCTTCCAGAGCTGGTCCGGATTCTCCGGAACGTCTTTGTTGCCGAGAAAAAGCCGTCTTTAAATATGGAAGTGGCCTGTAGCCGGACGGTGGCCAGCTACAGGTCTGCTCTCAGTACAGGTGGGTTCTAACTATAAGGAATACAAGCAGAGAACCATGTGGCACAAACTGCAGGGGCACCAGCAGCAACATTAGTCTGGTGTAGAACAGAAGACGCTGTCCTCCTCTCCTGATTGGCTCCTCCCCCTCCTCCCCACAAACAGGTGAAGTGGAGAAGCACATCCGGCTGCTGGCAGAGGTGGCTGCTGATTGGCTGACCATCCATCCAATAAGAAAGGACTTCTACCTGAAGCTGAACAAGAACACGGAGCTCAGCGTCGTCCTGCAGAAACTGAGCAGCAGACTGGAAGAGGAGGAGCGGATGTGACGGAGTGGTGACCTACTGGGGCCCTTGATGGGACGCGTGGGGCCTCCTTTTAAAGTGCAATATTTTTGGATCGACTCCACTGGTGTGTGTGGCCCGTTGGCATCGATGCCTCCATTTTATTATAGCTTATTGCCCCGCGTTAGAAGCCTGCCCTCCTTAACACACATTTCTGACGTGGTGCTTTGTTTTTCCTCCATGATGTAATGTCAACCTCAACTTCTGGTCTTTTTAGGGGTCAATTTTCTACAATGTAGAACTGCTGAATGTTTACATTTTTTGAGGTCTGTTTCACAGCATTTCTAAATCAAAGGTCGTCTTCCACATTATTTTTTGTAGATCGATCTGGCAGCTGGTGGTAAACTCACGCTGTGCTTAAAGTGGTAGTGAGGAACAACCTGTAGCATCATTTCACAACTAATGACAGATGTTACGCGTTCTGCCTGTGCAGAACAATGCAGATGAGATTTCCCTTCAAAACAATATTTAAAGGTCGGTCTGAATAGTTTAATAATGAACCACAAAAATCTCAAATAAAATCTCACGAATTGGATTAGAAACCCTGTGTACGTGTAATCCTTTCCTCCAGCACCATTACACGGCCGTCGGTTACGCTGTGAAGCATCTCGGTAACCAGTGGCTGGATTTCTATGCACGTGCTGATTGGCTGTATGCTGGTTTTGTTATACATCATATGTGTACTAATGCAGTCCAACATTACTAACCGGATCAACTCCTGCTTTGATAGTATTATTTGCCATGAAGAAATAATGTACTAAAGCAATATAAACCAATCCTGACGCGCATGCTGCTGGTTCTGTGAAAGGTGATCCAGTGAGGTCATTCATCCTGTGACACATGCGTCCCTTGTTCCAGACATCGCTCATAGAACATCGTATAGTTGCTGAGAATGACCTCGTGCTTTAAAGCTAGAGACCTGGAAGAAAAGGTAGAACCACTGCTGGAATGGAGATGTGGTCCATGATCCAAGAAGGTCTACACTAAAGTTACATGAGTCCCTGAAGCCATCGTGAAAACGACATGCTGAAGGTTACAATCTACCAAGAGGCCGTATGAGCGTCTCAATTCATTGAGTTGCATCCTTATGGGCGCATACGTCACCTCCGCCGCAACGTTTATACTTATTAACAGAAATGGATCAGCGTGAGCTCAAGGAGAAGCCTGAAATATCACTGAATCTGTAACGTTAGACGTGTAGAATAACCCAACAGCTGCAGAGGAATGTGGTCCCATCTCCTGGGCGGGGCCATCAGGTCACGGGGGCCGCGCACTGGTCGACTCCACGGAACGCGTATCTTCAGGTTCATCCAGTAAATGAGTTTGTGTAGACAAATGTGTTCCCAGAAGGTGGAATATAGTGGACAAGCGGTTTAATACAAGTTCATGTCATTAGTGTGGCCTGATCGCACCAACAAACAGAATGAAAAGACTTGCAGAACTTAAAGAAAACAGCCACAATACAAATAACTTTACTTATTTTTGATTGGTTTTATTTGCCTGAATTTCTACATCAAACCACTAATATTTTCATTATTAGCTGAGCCACATTCCAAACTTTACTTAAGAGCCTCCTGGTCGTCTCAATCTGAAGTCTCTACAACAATGTCAATCCTTCAAAAGCTGTTCATTTGATTGTATTATTTAAAATGCGGTAAATCAAAGCTTAGTATCGAATGATACGTTTTCATGTATGTCTTTGCTTAAAAGGCCGGGACTGATCCCAGCATGCATCAGCTTTGTTACAGATCCACGGACACATAGCGGCAGCATGAATGAATAATAGACCACATGTGTATTTAAATCTTAGTGCTGACTGAAATGGAATGGCATATCAACGTGTGGTTGAAGCGACCTTGTTGGGAGGCAGCGGACTCGTCTGTGCTTTCAGTAGCGCAGCAGTGAGAAGACGCGGTGCGGCTTCAGCTTGTCGGCGCCCTTCAGCTCCTGGAGCTCGATCACCACCAGGCAGCCCGCTATCTGCGCCTGCAGCTTCTCCATCAGCTCACAGGCGGCGTGCAGCGTCCCTGCAGCACACACGCGTCTCAATTCAACGGCAAAGTACCATATATATATATATATATAGAGAGAGAGAGAGTAGCCCAGTAGTTGTATCAGCTTGTGTTTAACTGACAGTTTAATCGAGTAATCTCAACACCATTTCTTGTCAGTTCAGATTGAACTACATTTTACTTGCAACAAGAGAGAAACATTCATTTAGAAGATGCATCATCAATATTTCAAGTGAACTACGGATGCATTTCAGAATTACATGAACGGAAAGCTTTGAGTAAAGAACTGAATTGTCTTGCAGCTTTAAACTGAAACAACCTTGATTCATACTTTAGGATTGGGATCTCCGTTTTCTGTGCCTTCACTATTTGTTTTCCCTCACCTCCAGTGGCCAAAAGGTCATCAATGAGTAGGACCTTCTGTCCTGGAGCCACAGCATCCTCCTGTATCTCTACTTCTGCCTGGAGGAACACACGTGAACAGCATCAGCGTCCCGCTGAGGGCAGACGGTCGACACAGATGTGTGCAGAATACAACATGGTGCATATAAAATGATCACCGTTCTCCTGATCTCCCAGGACACGGTGATCATTTTATATGCACCATGTTGTATTCTGCACACATCTGTGGTACATCTGTCCATCCTTGGAGAGGGACCACTGCTCATTTGCTTGTCTTGTCATTTCCATGAGAGGACGATGCTCATGTTACTGTATCACACACACACACGTTCTTTGAGATAATACATGTGCACGTCCTTTTTAATGGCCAATCGGTGAGCTGTATGTTACAGAGGGAAACATTCAAACATTATAAATTGAACATGATGACACATGCAGAGCGTAGCTCGGCAACAAAGAGGTGCGTCTGTGTGCTTCACCTTTCCGTACTCCAAGTCGTATGCCACGGACACGGTGGTTCCAGGCAGCTTGCCTTTCTTCCTGACCAGGACGAAGCCGAGGCCCAGCCGCTGGGCAAGCAGAGGGCCGAACAGGAAACCACGAGCATCCAGACCTGAACACGCACAAGGGGCCTCCAGCCCGTCACACCTCCACCAAACCCCACACCCACGCCCTTCTTCCCTCACCCGTTAAAGGGAACGGGCCATAAGAAGAACGAAAGGACCATTTCTCCTGGTAGAAGCTCGCCTGTGGGCCTTTAAGCCGAGTCAGGGAGGTGTGTGTGCGGAAACCCTTTCCTTGGTTGTTGTCCTCAACCTAAAAATACCAAAGTATCTGAAGCCCTTTTCTTCAGGTTCAGGACACCAGCCAATGATATATGGACTGTATGTATCATACATGTGTGTATATACACGCATGTGTAGATGAGCACACAGAACCAGGAGTGAACTCTGTATTGAAGGCTTCTTACCAACAATCAGGTCCAGCTGCTGGTGGTTCTTCCTCACATGGTCTTCAAACAGGTCAATCACAGCTGTCAGAGCAGCCGGATCCTTCAGGATGGGACAGATGTCCCTGCAGCGCAAACGGTCCATCAGTATCCGTCATTTCAAATGCAAATCAGTACAAAAGCACAGGTGATTTAATGCTAAACTTCTCCTTTGCATATATCTGGTGATCAGAACAACTGGATCACCTTGGGAATAAAACAATCAAATCAAATGATAAGCTGCGGTGGGGCCGTTATGGATTCACCACAAGTATTTCCTTAAGTTATTCTTTTCATACGTCCGTTACTTCGCTAAAGAAAAAGCTTTAATTTCCGAAAGAAAAACAAAAACGTTTCCTGTAACACAATGAGGTGCCATCTCACGGTTGTCAGGACAACGAAGGTGTTTATATCACTCCTCTACGCAGCAAAAGCACGTCTTAATAGAGCCAATGAAATGTCATGATCAGGATACTGTTACACTGACCAGTTAGGCGTAAAACATTTCATTACATTAGAAAATTCCATTTCATCGTTTGTGTATATATGTTTGCAGTTAAAACAGTGAAACATTAATAGAAAGAAGATTAATATCGTTCCTGCTCGTCACTTGCAGGCTCAAAGGTTTCAGGTTAAAGTAAAAGAAAGCAGAATTAGTTCCACATTTGAAAGTATCCATTCCATCTCGTCCATTTTCTTGGTGGGGTAAATGCAGGGCTTTTGAAAAGATGGAGGGGTTTTGTGTTTGCTAGTGAACCCAGAAACTGGGGGCGGCACAGCGGTGTGCTGGTTAGCACAGAAGGTTCTGGGTTCAAACCCACCCAGCAGCGGCCAGCGGCCATGGCGAACCGTTGACTCACTGGTACTTGTTGGTGAATCTGGTCTAATTCCAAACCCCCGACCCCTCAGGGACTGACGGAAGTGGTCGAGTCGGGGGGCTTTAACTGGTGTAAATGTGAATGGGACATGTCATGTCACCATGACAACATCAAAAAATCAGATTAACATTTAAGGGTCTTTGTTTCATACTTTTCCTCATAATAATTTAAATGATAATAAATAATATCCGAATATCGTCTGATTGCATTATTTTTTTCTCCATCTTTAATCCTCACATTTTAAACGTGTACATCATAGTATGACAGCCTGAACACAGGTGTGCCGTCCTCTGTTTTTCTTCTTTAGTCCCCATGCTTTTGCTGGTTATTCTGTTTTTAGCATCACATTGCAATGACTTGTGGGTAATTACCTTACCGTACCATATAAACATCAAAGCAGCGAGTGTGCGACCACAAACCACTTTTGATCACACGTTTAATACGTTGAACTATATGATTAGCTCTATTATTCCCGGATGCATGGAAATCATCTGCGTGTAGTCACTACACACATCCGGGTTATTTATTCATCTCCGTTAGAGAACGTTTCTCCTCACGTTGTCCTGGTAACCGCTGGCATCGCAGACGGACTTCAAGCATACAACGTGCCTGGCGTGGACTCTTACTGTGAAAATCTACGTACTTCCGGTTGGCGCTCCGCTTCGTATTTTCGTTTTATAGGCAAAAGCCAAAAGGGATTAACGCAGAAAACAGTTGTCAGTCTGTCTCGTTTTTTGATTCTGAACGAAAAACAGGAAAACGACTGCGCACTTCCGTTTTCTCGTTTTTGATTTAAAAACGAAAAAAGAGAACAGAGTGTTTTGGTTCTATGTGTTCTGCGGTAAGAGGGACAATCAAACAGGGGCCAAAGTTGTCGGTCTGTTTCGTTCTCTGGTGCTGAATAAACGTCCGCCCACTTCCGGTTCTGATCTAAAAGGAGAAAACGCTGGTATTTTCGTTTTCTACGGTAAAGTGGACCATCTGAAGGTACGCGGACTTTACCTGAACAAGATGCCCTGCTGGGGAAAGTCCGGGAAGGCTCGGATGTGTCTTTGGACCAGCTGCAGTTTGGATTCGGAGTCTGCTGCCATTCTAACGCAATGTGTCACGGGAGCATTTACCGCGGCTTATGGGGGCATCAGCGCCCCTTCTGCCCCGGCGGCTGGAAAACAGAGCAACAACATGCATCGCGTTTTATCGGTGACCCTCTGACCCCTGCACGGTCCGACCCTCTGACCCCTGCACGGTCCGACCCTCTGACCCCTGCACCGCCCACCTGCATGTCCGTCCCTGTGCTCCCTCACTGCTGTTGTGTGATGCGATTCCTCTCATCTCTCTGTGCATCTCATGCTCAGCTCACCCCCCTCATGCCTCACGTCCAGTTCTTTGGTTCAGTGCACCACGACCCAACCGTAACACATTATATTCTTTGGTACTTTGACGGTCTTTTGAATATTATATGAATATCTCCCTTTCTCCTCAAAGTCCCACATGTAGTTGATTTCTTTCCTCCCCCCAAAAAGGGAACTAAACCTCTGCTTCACTGATACTTTGCCTATCCACTAACCTCTAAAGGCACTGGGACCCGCAGGAAGGGAAGCTGACCTCATTGACTGCACGTACAAACAGGAAACAGACCGCAGCATAAATATAAACTCACGTGTCTTTATTAGTAAAGTGTGCCGACACAAACTTCATCAAAAGTCAAATGCATTCCTGGTGGGAGGTATCAAGACTAAAGGAAAACCACAAGTGATTGGCAACAATTCGAGACATTTCTTTATTGAAAAAACAGCGTAGCTAAAGACGTATTTAAGTTAATATTAATCATTTTAAAAAACAAGGTTAATATCATTAAGGCCATCACACACAACATGAGTTTCTCCTGCTGATCAGAGGTCATGTGTGCGTCAGGACATGAGCCATTCAGCACCTGCCCCGTCTGTGGAGGTCAAAGGCCGCGTCGGCGGGACTTGGGAATGGGCGGGGCTTGTAGTTGACAGGCTCCTCCTTTAGAGGGACGAGCTTTTCTCTAAGGTGGTCAGAGTTCATGAAGTGGAGAAGAGAGGGTCCGTCTGCTGCCTTGTTGCCGTGGCAAGGCAGCAGCAGCCTATTCTGCAGCACCTGGCTGATCAGCTGATCTTCCTGCACGTCCACACCGACCAATGAAGTGAAGAGGAGCTGAGAGCGAGAGACATTCACCTCTGCAGACAAGGCAGAGAGAGAGGCGGTCTTAAACAACCACGAGAAATACAGAACCCATGTGCACCGAATGTTGATGAAGTGGAAAATGAAATCTAAACACCACAAACATACTTTTATTTCTACTTCATTCATGGACACTTGTAATTACCTCATAAAGAATTTTTTTAAAAATGTTTTTCACTTAAAAAGGATGTTCTGAACAAAGCCTTGGCTGATCCATCCATACAATAAATAAATTGTCTTAAAAAATGTGATGTAAAGTGTATTTTAGAAGTTTTAAACATGTTTACATAATTGTCTGGATGCTTTTGGTAATTGAAATGATTTTATCCAGGATAATCCTGACATGAAATGTCCACAGTTGCATCTCTACTGACTTGCAGAGGAGTCTATTAGTTACTGGGGGCTCTAGACTCTAAACCCCCTCCGACTGGTGCAGGTTAAGTTTTCTATGGAGGTAAAAACTTAGGCTCAACGTACCTTGCTGAGCCATCAACTGGCTTTAAATAAGGCAATGAGGGGAACTCCTTTGTGTCTTTTACCTTCAGTAGCTCTGGTGTTGATGAGCGTTTTGGTCCTCTCGGACCTCCTTAGGGTCTCCTGAACGGCCTTCTGGGAGTTAAACTCAGCCCCCTGCAGGACAACACGCAGGTTACCATGGGAACCAGCCTTTAATTAGTGCAACTATGATGGTTAACAGACCGCTAAAGAGAGTGAACCTGCAGTGACTGAAGCTCCGCCTTCAGAGCCAGAGTGCTGTTCAGCTCCACCTTACTGAGAAAGCCTGGAGCTTGATTGGATCCTGCACCGCTGGACTCCACCCACTGTGTGGGGGCTACAGATCAGAGGAGAGGAACAACAGGTTTTTTAGTATTCTATTGACTTTAACCAGTGATTTCTCCGTTGCAGCCGATGCGCTGATGCACGTAGCACCACTGCAGAGAAGGTGAGGGATCTGTTCAGTTAATGGCTAAATAAAACCGGTGAGACAAAGTGTGGGTCATCAAGGCGTAGTCAAGGCGTGGTCAAGGCATGAGATGACCAGAACCCGCGCTGCCTTCTGAGTGAGAAGCGGACGTATTCTACCAAAGTTATTCAGCATTAATCTACAGGAAGGCGTCATCTCGTTGGCAGAGAGGGAGAGTTTACTGTCGAGTGTCACCCCAAAGCTCTATATGTCAACGTGCTGCATTATAATCATTAGCTGTGCTGCAATACCAGCATCATGTATTGGGGCGCCAATCAGCGCAGTACTCATACTCCTAAAACTACTCCAAAACAAGTGCCCCCGATTCTATTAAGACAGCAAGCCCTTCACCGCTCTTCAGTTGGCTTTAATAAGCTGCATTGAGAACCCATCGTTTTGCCTCCCTGTTGGTTCCCTGCTGTGTGGACACATCGTCAGCCATTTGTCTGCCAGCATATTGAAAGTTGGATGTGGCCTTAGTGGACGTCCGGTAGGGAGGGAGTGTGTGATGATTAGAATGACAGTAATGCAGCAGCCTGGGAGCCCTGAGCTCCCCCATGAGACCTGGGGTCCGCTTCAAGTCTTTAGCGGGAACTCAGAGTTTGTTATCCCTGAGATGAGGGAAACTAAAACACGTCGGAGAGAGTATTGAGGCCCGATTAGATATAGTCATTTCCAGATAACTACTTGTTTGAACGGTATCGTTTTTCTTCACAGTCCATGAAACATGTACATGACCTCACCGGTCCTCATATAAGTAACGTCACTCATCGTGGACATGCTCTCACATACGAGCACATTCCTCATGTAGTATTACGTTTTTCTGCAAACGGCAGTTTCCTTTACAACATTAGAATATTAGTAAAGCTGCTGTATGCAGAGCCGTGAGAAACATCCTTTAAACCCTTTTGTTCCCTGGACACAAACCAGTGAGAGACATTAAAGAGGCGTTCCACAGGACGCACCTGAATAAAACACATTATAGGTTCAACACCGTTGGACCAGTTTTTACCAGCGATATTATTCTTGTGATTAAATATGAGCATGTGTGTATATTTCAAGCCTGTGTGTAGTGCATTCTAACAAACAGTGTAAAAACTGTAGTAAAACGTATGGATTATGATTAGTGTGTACATTAAATATTAACTTAACACCATATTGGAACTTACTCTGTTTCGGTCTTTTGCTGCAGTAGCGGTGTTGCTTTTTTTTCCTTACGCTTGCATTAGTATTTACGGCTCAATAGTGGTGAATATATTGTTTGTGGTGGTTGCCATGGTAACTCGTGGTATCGTGGCTCCATTCGTGATGCCTTTATACTGTGGTGCTGCGCTCAACTCGGAGTCACTCTACTCAGAGTTGATTGAACCAACTCTAAACAGCTGTTCTGAAACCCAAGACCTTCCCATCTCAGGGTAAATCAACTCAGAGTTTAGGGTTTGTTAAACCTCCCACTTGAAACGGCCCCCAGGTCTGGTTGCTGACGTCTATGTGGCCATCACACAGGGTCCTCAGTCCTAACTGTCAATCTGTGGTTACCGTGGTGATATTCCCTGCTCCTCCCCTGGCCTCTGTTTGGCTGCTTCGGCGGGGCGTCTGTGCTCTGATCCAGTGTCACCTTGACATCCACCGACTCTTTAAAAAACACCTAAAGAAAGATGTCATCAAAACCGCAAATCACAACCAAAGCAAAACACACATCAGGGCTGGATTTGCATTGTCACATCTGCTTAGGAAGGTTCCTAACGGGGTGAAATGACCCGGCAGTAGTGTAAGTGGCGCCATGAGGAGAGCTGTGCGAATCCTCTAATGCTAAGGAAAGGAATCATTGGACCATCCTTTACGTAAGGAAAGGAGATCATTCCTTGCTGCAGTAATATTTAAATAGGGACGTGAGAACGATCATGACTGAGAAACATAAATAGATCATATGAGAAAGCGTAACTCATTCATGTTGCAGCCTTGCTAATAAAGTAATAATTAGAGCCTGGTTGTTTTACATCGTCTGCATGACTCGGCACTGCAAGAACTCCTGAAGGCATCTAAGAGGCTTCTTTGTAGTCCATCTTCAAAGAAATGGTAGTTTGGCCGCTGCACACTGACGTCACTAACATGCATCTCGGGTCGCATCAGAACTAGTGGAGTCGGACGATTTCCATTTCCTAACTCCTCATTAACTCTCCTAACCACCTTTCCTTCACCTTGTGACGTTTTCCACAGAGGTCAAGGAATAGTAGTTAGGAATAGACGTTAGGAGGTCATTTCTTTGACAATTGGAATCCAGCCCCGGACTAAAGGAGCTCGTGCTCACCTGTCTTCCCGTCTGTCCTGGAGGGCGGGGCTTCGTCTGTGGTTGGTCGCTTTGCCGACCCGTCTTCGGTGGACTGCGTTTCCAGTGTGTCCGGCTGGTCTTGGGGGCGGCGCCGAGTGTGACGGACAGGTCGAGCTCAGGACAGTGAACCAGAGAGCAGGAGGAGAGCAGGGGTGAGGGGGCAGGGGGAGGAGATGGGGGAGGAGAGAGGAAGGAGGAACTCATCCTGACAAGAAAAAAAAGAGAGAGACACAGATTTTCAGTGGAATGCACCCCAAAATGAAAGTGTTCTCTTCTGTAAAGACCCTTATCACAGCTTCATGAATCGTAATTATTACAGGTATTATTAATAATGAATGATTAAAAATCTATTTAAGGGTATTTACATCAAAATCTGTTGAGTGGTGCAGCAATTACAAGACATTTTATACGTCATTTTGACCAAAGGGAACTGAACAATTGGCCGAGCAGCTGTTCCTTTCGGGTGTGTGTTATTCCCTCACTATTGGATTTAACAGATAAAAGGTCTGGAGCTTGTTCCAGCTGTGGGATCTGCATTTAAATCTGTTGCTGTCAATGGAACCGTCTCCACGAGTGAAGCAAGCCGTCATTAGTCTGAAGGATGAAATCTGTATAAAGCCAACATGTATTGTTTTAAAGCACGTTACTGCAGTCTGTATAATAGTAACGGCAGCAATAACTATAGTAACCGTTAAATACCAGTAGTTACAGTAAAACAGTATACCCCATCTAGTACATGCAATATTACCTCAACATTGTAGGAGTACAGTGTTCGAGTCGTTTTATTGTGCCGATCGCGTCTTTTGGGGTCGTTATATTTGGGTCAATAAACCTCATGTCGGGTTGAAGCGTTGATTGGAGGACAAGCCCACGTGACACTGTAGCCGGGGAGCAGGTTCCTAAGCAGAGGAAAGGAGTCTAGGATGCAACCGTTAGCTCGGTTAGCCGCGTAGTCTCCGTCAATGGAAGCGCCTCGTTCAGCTAAAGTTATTAACCTTCCACCCTCCGACTCACTGAGGAGTCTCTGAGTCACACTCATGCGTTGTGGTTTATTACATCGAAGCGGATACAACTAGTTAGCCGGTAAAGTTATTTGTGTTACCTGATGAGGTCCGAGAGGAACAAACGATGAGAAACACCAGACCGAAGTCTCCCTCTGAAGATAATCTACATTAAACGGTTTAATTATCCGGAGAAACTCCTTTGTGCCCCAAACAACCCTTTCAAAAAATCAACAGGTTTCTTCTTCTTCTTCTTTTTAAAATTGGCACATTACCGCCGACAGCAGGTATGGAGCGGACCCGGAGAAGATTTTCAAAATAAAACAAATATACACATAAATTACAAGAACTAAACATCGTTATCGAAAATAAACCAAACAACGGGCTCAGATTTTCTTTTTAATCATAGTCAATTGAATATAGCAAAATAGTGCTTCATGAGTCCCTTTGCAGAATGTAACCAAATCTATGGAAACTTGGCAAATGGGAATGAGAAGATTTAGAGCCGGAGTGAGGATAGAATGGAGAATAAAAGATCAGTAACGACATGAGGACATTTCCCTGACTGAACCATTTGGCGCATGTAGAGAAGGTGCGCCGGGAACCGAAGGGTTGGCGGTTCACGCCCCGGCTGCTCCGCGTCCCGTGAGCGGGGGAAAGAAGGTAATACTGCCAAGTAGTAGGTAGGTGGCAGTAGAGGCCTTCAACGCTGGCCGTCACTGCCATGTTCGGTCCACGCAGTACACGAAGAAGAAGGAGGAGCAGTAAAAACAACGGAGCAGGAAGAAGAGAAACAAGAAGAAGAACCGGTTCACGCAGTTTACCGTGAACCGACCGGAGCCCCGCAGACCCCTGTCCGTGCGGTGACATGTCGGTGGCTGCCAGCGGCGCGCGGTTCATGTGCAGGAGTGTCCCGCTGCTATTGGCCCGACGCGCTGTGACCACGTCCCCGCCCGTGGCTGCTGGACCAAGAGGGAAGCGTCCACCGGCCGGGAGCGCGCCGCGCGTCACCACAGGTGAGTGGCCCGGGACACGCTAACGTTACCCGTGTCTCACTTCTTTCACTGAATCCTCACGAGGACCCCGCGCTGTGGCCTAGATGGGCCGGTGGTCCACACCGGTAGACCGGGTCTGGCTTCCTGCTTGCGTCACCCGGCGTTGTCTCCGCTGTGATGTTACTAGATGTTACTGGTTACTGTTAAGGTAAAGAACTCCATCACCCAGCATTCCCTAGTCAGTGCTGAGGGACATGCGCGGTGCGGAGCGCGGCAGACCCCGGGGGTAGCATTACAGCGGACTGTGCTAGTTGACATTAAAAGTTCATGAAACGTATATCACGCCTCGCCTGCTTATTATAAGAATACGCAAGGTACAACATGGTGTCAGAAGTGGCCGTGAGCAGCTAATGAAGATAGATTTGCCACGGGAGAACGACGGGGAAAAGAGAGAAAAAAAGAAATCTCCGGTCGCGTGAGGTAACGTGCTAACAAGTCAACATGCTAAAAGAGTTTGCTACGTCGTGTGATGGCTACAAGTGGCAGTGGAAGTGAAGCGGGAGATGAAGGACAGATCGAACATATAGAGGAGGATCTTGTGCCTGAAGCAGAGGACAACCGGCAACGCGAGAGGGCTGGGGAAGACCCTGTACCCCGACTTTCAGTAATGGAGAGGCTAAGTCCACCTACTTCCATGCAACTGACTGGTAATCTTGCTGATAATTGGAAGCGTTTTAAGCAACGATTCAATATATATTTAGCAGCAAGTGGAGCAGGGGCTGATGATGAAAAACTGAAAGCTCACATTCTTTTGCATGTTATGGGAGAAGATGCTTTGGACATATATAATAGCTTTCAGTTGGATGAAGCTACTATGACCTTAGCAGAATTAATGATAAAGTTTGAAGAGTACTTTGTGCCTAGCCAGAACGTGACGTTTGAGAGGTACAAGTTTTTCACCCATGACCAGAAGCAAGGAATACATTTCGATCAGTACTTAGCAGAGCTTCACACATTAAGCAAAACATGTGAATTTGGCACCCTGAGAGATTCTCTAGTGAGAGACAGGATAGTTTGTGGCACAGTGGATAATGCACTCAGAGAGAGACTGCTCAGAGAAGCTGGACTTACACTGGAGAAGTGTGTCACTATGTGCAGAGCAGCAGAAACAACTCGAGCGCAAGCAAAAGAGCTTCGGAGAGGTGAAACTACAGTGCATGCAGTACACAAAGAACAGAGAAATAAGAAAACATATACTAAACAAAAAGACTGTAAAGAGAAATCTGCAGAATTCAAATGTGGTAAATGTGGAGGCAGCCACAAGCCAAAATCATGTCCTGCGTATGGAAAATCCTGTAACAACTGTGGAAGGAACAATCACTATGCAAAATGTTGCAAGTCCGCTTTTAAGCAGAAGGTTCACGCAGTTGGTGAGGAAGAAGAGGATGATGGGGAGTTCCTTGTGGATGTGGTGCAGGCTCGGACTGATGAATGGAGGAATGGATTGTGCCAATCGAAGTGAACAAGACGGTAATACCATTCAAGCTAGATACAGGTGCCCAGGTAAACCTGTTATCTTATGAGGATTACAAGACATTGGCAGTGAAAAGCAAAATTCATCCAGTAAAAACAAAGGTGACAGGATACACTGGAGAAAGGGTTCCTGTTAAAGGCGGATGCATCGCAACCTTCAAATACAGAGACCAGCAGATAAGAGCATTGCTACTGGTTGTGGATACAAGTGCACAACCAATCCTGGGACTCAAGGCATGTACAAAGCTCAACCTGGTCAAAAGAGTGTTTGTAGTGACATCATCAGAAACTGCCAATGATCATGACTCACTGATGGAAGAGTATAAAGACTGCTTCGAAGGACTTGGATGTCTACCCGGAGAACACAAAATATGCATAGACAAAAGTGTGTCTCCTGTTGTGCATCCTTGTAGGAAAGTTCCTTTTGCATTGCGTGGAAAACTGAAAGAGGAACTGGCGCGCATGGAAAAACTAAAGGTCATCAAGAAAATAGATGAGCCAACTGAATGGGTCAGCTCGCTGGTTGTTGTACAAAAGAGAACCGGTGCTCTGAGAACGTGCTTGGACCCAAGAGACTTAAACAAAGCGATCAAAAGAGAGCACTTTAAGTTACCAACCAGAGAAGAAATCATGGCACAGTTTGCTGGAGCTAAATGGTTCAGCAAACTAGACGCTTCATCAGGTTTCTGGCAGCTGAGGCTGGACGAGGAGAGTTCGAAGCTGTGCACATTCAACACACCTGAGGGCAGGTACAGGTTTCTTCGTCTGCCGTATGGTATCCTGTCAGCGCCTGAAGTCTACCATAAGACTATTCATATGATCTTCGAGCACATACCAGGAGTGGAGACAATGATGGATGACGTCATAGTCTGGGGGTCGACTCGAGAAGAACACGACGAAAGACTGAGACAAGTGCTAGACAAGACAAGGGAAGTGAATCTGAAGCTTAACAAAGACAAATGTGAGTTTGGAGTGAAAACACTTACCTTTGTGGGAGATGTTGTCAGTGAAGAGGGGGTGAAGCCCGACCCAAGAAAAACGTGAGCAATCAACAACATGGAAAGACCAAACAACAAAGACGAGGTCAGACGTTTTCTGGGAATGGTCACCTATCTGGCCAAATTTGTCCCTCAGCTGTCAGCACAGTCAGCACCTCTCAGGAGTCTTCTTGAACAGAAGAATGAGTGGATCTGGTCCCATGAGCAGGAACAATGTTTTGTGAAACTGAAAGAGACTCTGACACAAGAGCCCGTGTTAAAGTTTTATGACCCAGAGAAGAAAACAAGGATTTCAGCAGATGCGTCACAGTACGGCTTGGGAGCGGTGCTGCTGCAGGAATACGATGAGCAGGGGCTACCCGTTGCTTATGCATCCAGAGCCTTGACAAGCGCTGAGTCCAGGTATGCTCAAATCGAGAAGGAGCTGTTAGCGAGCATGTACGCATGTGAACGTTTTCACCAATATGTCTATGGTCAAGCTTTTGAAGTGGAAACGGACCATAAACCTCTGGTGTCCATCATGTCCAAACCTCTGAATGACTGTCCTGTACGGATACAGCGCATGCTAATCAGGCTGCAAAAATATGACATACACATGATGTACACACAAGGGAAATACATGTACACCGCCGACACCTTGTCTAGAGCAGTGGATAAGGGGGAGCGTGCGGACAACGAAGACACTGCAGAAATCCAGGCGTATGTGGATATGATTGTGTTGAATCTGCCGGTAACAGCTGACAGAACAGAACAAATACGCAGGGAGACAAATGCAGATGAAACAATGACAGAACTCAAATACACAATACAGTCAGGATGGCCTGAAAACAGAAAGGATTGCCCCACGAAAATACAAGACTACTGGAACTGTAGATCTGAGCTCAGTGTGGTGGATGACTTAGTGTTGAAGGGGAGCAAGTTTGTTATTCCATCATCGTTACGTAAACAAATGCTCCAAAAGATACACGAAGGCCACCTCGGAGAAGTCAAGTGTAAACGGCGGGCAAGAGAAGTAATGTACTGGCCGAGAATCAATCAAGATATCAGCCAGACAACAGCGTCGTGTGAGCTATGTCGCATCTACAGGCCAAAACAACAAGCTGAGCCGCTGATGACTCACCCGGTGCCCCACAGACCGTACTACAAGGTTGGTACTGATCATTTGACTGTGATGGAAAGAGTTACATAGTGGTCACCGACTACTTTTCAAATTATCCAGAAGTTGGAGCGCTGCAGTCAACATCAAGCAAAGCAGTCATCAGCTACCTCAAGACTGTCTTTGCCAGGCATGGAGTGCCATGTGAACTGTTTTCAGACAATGGGCCCCAGTTTTCCAGCTGTGAGTTTGCTGCCTTTGCCAGGGAATGGGGGTTTCAACACTCAACATCGAGTCCAACCTATCCAAAATCCAACGGCTTGGCAGAAAGCTCAGTGAAAACGGTAAAAAACATGATGAGGAAAGCACAAGACAGATGACTTTCAGAAGAGCTTACTGATCTATAGGAGTGCACCTCTACAGAACGGACTGTCACCAGCTCAAATGCTGATGGGTAGACGCATTCGCTCTAACCTACCAATAACCGAGGATTTGCTTACGCCAAAGAACGCACACAAAGTCAGAAAAATAAAGGAGGAACAAAAAGCAAAGCAGAAACAGCTGTATGATCGAACGGCAAAACACCTGCCAAAGCTGAGTCCTGGAGACCTGGTGCGTCTCAGGGACGTCTCTGCAGGCACATGGGGACAAAAGGGACAGGTGAAGGAGGAAGTTGCTCCACGCTCCTACAGGATCCAGACGGAGAATGGAGTGTCTCTGAGGAGGAACCGCACTGATCTGCAACTACGAACGACTGAACAGGACAGTATAGTTCAAGAGACGGTTCAGGAGGACACAGCTGAATCTACTGAGCTATCGGACAGTGGTCCGACAGCGACGTCTGCGTCAACGGCTGAGGCGACACCTTTCAGATTGCTGAAATCGCCGGCTGCTGAAAGTCAGGATAGACCTAGGAGACATGTTCAGCCACCTATGAGGTTGATGAGAGTTGCTAGACTATCTTTAGTTTGTTTTGTTTGCAGGGAAGGAAAAGGCAATGTGTACCTTTTGTCCGAGTAAGTTTACTTAAGAAGGAAAAGGGGAAGTTGCAATTGTAGAAGTTGTTTACAAGTATAGTTTATATGTTACATTACACTTGCACTTAAAGATGGCTATGTTTTTACGGGGGAAAATATAATCTCATTGTAAGGGGAAAGATGTGATGTTACTAGATGTTACTGGTTACTGTTAAGGTAAAGAACTCCATCACCCAGCATTCCCTAGTCAGTGCTGAGGGACATGCGCGGTGCGGAGCGCGGCAGACCCCGGGGGTAGCATTACAGCGGACTGTGCTAGTTGATATTAAAAGTTCAAGCGGGCGGACAGCGCAGCGGCTCCCGGTAACGTGAGCTGGCCGGTTGTTATAACGTGGATGTGTGTTGGTACATTGATGTTCATGAGACACGTCCCAGGTGATGACGAGTTGTGGAAACGATCCCCAGACCTGCAGCGTATTTCTGTCCATTCCATTGGATCATGTTTCAGTTAAATAAGACCTTTGGAGGAGCCTTTGTGACTTAACACTACGTCAGGTCTAATTCATTATATGAGTTCTAAAAAAAACCTGGACCTGCTATTTGCACAAGCTTATGCAAAGTAAGTTATGCAAATAGGGCATAAACAGACAATGACAGTGCTGTCTTATGTTTTTTATTTTCATGCATTTACAGTCATTGTTTCTTATTTCTAATAATGTTTCTTACCAAATGCTCTCAAATATAGTCTTAAAAAAGCCCTTATTTACTATACATTGTTAATATTAACATTTCTGTCCCTGTGACGTTGCTGCAGCCTACTGATCTGATCGGAGAGAGGCCAGCACTGGGAGTTGTGGGAAGTGAAGTCTTGTCTCACTATGTTGTCTTCTTTCGAAGGCAAGCTGGCGCGGAATGAGGGGGATAAAAAAACAGTGGTGAGTCTTCACAGTATGTAATAATAATCTATTCTAAACACACGTCCATATCATAGTTAGGACCTTCTTCTTGATGATGTCTTTGGACCAGCCTGTTAACGAACATCCCTCTGTCGCTGTTTTTCAGATTTGCATTGAGGGGAACATTGCCAGCGGGAAGACGACGTGTGTGAACTATTTTGAAAAAAATAGCAACATTGAGGTACTGAACAGAACACAGTCCAACTGTGCATAATGTTGATTCATGTGCACATGCTCCCCACCGGGATGTTTTACATTTAATTTAGTTTCTAAAATCCACTTCTGTCAGCACAGCAGTGTAACTGTTCAGGAATGATGGCGCAACCCTGGAGATGGGAGGTGTTCATTATCGAATTTGCTTGTCTTTCTTGGTTCCAGGTCCTCGCAGAGCCAGTCTCTAAATGGAGGAACGTCCGTGGACACAACCCTCTGGTATCGTAAATGGCCGTCTTGTTATCACTGGTGTTCCCATTGACCTGGCATCAGACCTTTAAGCAGAACTAAACGTGTTTTCAGGATGGGCTCCAGGAGCATTCAAGCAATACTTTCAATGAAAGAATACCACAGATGAAAATGAGTTCTCTGACCCGCCTATGAACTAACACTTTTAACTTCTATTTGATTTAGATGTGTTCTGTGTACCATTAAAACAAGGCATATGCTGGTTGTGTGTCTGTTCCTGCAGGCTTTGATGTACCAAGATCCTGAGCGCTGGGGCATCACGCTGCAGACGTACGTCCAACTCACCATGCTGGATACACACCTGGCAGCCATGGTAACGCTGCTGCTGGCTATTCCCCCACGCAACCTATAAGCGTGTTGTCAACCTGCATTGCTAAGGCTTTGTTAGCGGCGATGCAAACACATCTGCTGTATCTACCTCCCTTGTGGGTTCCAGACAGCCGACGTCAGGATGATAGAGAGATCCCTCTTCAGCGCCAAGTACATCTTTGTGGAAAACCTCTTCAGAAGGTACCTGTAGTTTGAGAAACCCAAACCCGGCATGAGTAGATCCATATAGAATATTATCGTAGGGGAAACACGGACGTATTGCTGCTTTAATGCCAGCACACTTGATAGACGTAGACCGTACAGATTTAGTTCACATTTGCATTTAGCCAGCAAGCTACGGCCAGTTAAGAACTGGTCAGTCTGAAGGCACATTGCAGGATCACAAATACCATTTACAGGCATTTAAGTGACGCACGTTTCTGTTATTAACTTTTGTTATTTATTTATTATTGAAAATATGCTACTATTTGAGTGCCCTATTTCTTAAGGATTACATTTTGATAAGAATACATTGAAGGGCAGTTTTCTTTCAAAAGCGATATATATTTATTGCGTTAACACAATGAATTAATGCATATAATGACTTTATTGCGCGTTAACACAGTTTTTATTTATTGCGCCCTGGGCCACAGCGGGGGGGTGTTGATCAGTGTTGCCCCGGGGGGGGCATCATGCTCCGTGTCGACTAATGAGAGCATTTGGAGGCGTCCTGCTCACATAAACCCAGACAGAAGAGAACTGGCTTAAGTGGACATTTTCATTTAAATGTCTAGACGGCGAGTTGATCATTTCACAGTGTGACTTTCTACAGACACACGATGTCAACGTTCACTAATTCTGCTTCTTCCTCAAAATGCCACAGCAGCTTTAATTGTGTGTTTTTTCAGCGGGAAAATGCCCGGGGTGGACTATGCTGTCCTCAGCGAGTGGTTCGATTGGATCACAACAAACATTTGCATTCCTGTTGATCTGATTGGTGAGAATACACAAAGCAGAGAAACAATCGATTATTTCATGTAGAATTAGGAGATTGTAACTGCTAGCTGTGTGGTAGAGGTGTGGTGGTGTTTTTATACTGGTTGTGGTTTGTCTGGTTGACAATACCTAGTGACTGAAGATATGATGAGTGCTTGTAGCAATCCTGTGCTGTCTCGCACATCTTTTGGCCCTGCACATCATACAAAAGGCCCCACGAGCAGCACACAATCAGCCCCATATTCACTCATGAAAATCATAACGCAGTCCCTCCGTCTCACTGGGATTTGTCTTCAGTCCCGACACGTTGAGTGACTGTTTTCTTCTGGCTCCAGTCTACCTAAAGACATCTCCTCAGACCTGCCACGAGAGGCTAAAGCAGAGACGCAGAGAAGAAGAGAAGGTCATTCCATTGGTGAGGACACACATTCACAGACAGCAGTGTGAGGGTGAACATTTAGTGAGTTCCTCACTATTTGTTTCGTGTTGATTTTATTGCTTCCTACTGTAACATCATCTAATTGCTCTTTCCCGAGAGATGAGCTCTTAAACATCAAGTAGACCACTGCAGGGGATTTATGTCCCGCTTTTCTCTAATCACCTGGAACGTATTGTCTTGTGAAAGGTGTCCACCTTTGACCAGGAACTAATTGGCAATAACATTTGACATTTTGCGACGGCGCAACTCGTCCTAATAAATTCACAGTCACACAAGAGTTGCTCTTTGTTTTTGTTGGTTGCAAACAGGAATCCAGTAAAGCGTTTGTGATTGTGTTCACTAGGAGTATCTCGAGTCCATCCACGAGCTGTATGAGGACTGGCTCATCAAGCAGACCTCTTCCCCTCTGCCTGCTCCTGTGCTGGTGAGTTAGTGTGGACATGTGTCTTCGTCTCTCTTATGGTCTCCTGATGACTCGAATGTCTTTTAACGCGACGTGTCATCGTTCACCCATTCATACACTGACGGGAGGAGCTGCTACACACAGTGACGCCCTCCCGCCAGTAGCTAACCCTTCACACAGCGCAGCTACGGGAGCTGTTTGGGGTTCGGGCTCGTCCCCTAGGACACGCATGGACACGGGGATCAAGCCAAGGGAGCCCTAAGTGATGTTAGTGATTGGTGACCTTTAAATCTGTGTGTGTGTGTGTGCGTACAGGTGATTCCTGCTGACCATGACCTCCAGACGATGCTGCACCAGTACGAGGAAAACCGTGACAAGATTTTAGCTGCAAGCCGTCTCTGAGCACGCACATGATTCTGCATTGGACAACCTTTTCCTTTTTAAGTGCACTTTTTTCATTACTCCACATATGTTAGGGTTAGCGAATAGGCGATTAAGGGGTTTTATGCAAATGAATGAAGTAAATGACTGGTCAAAGAAACGATGCTTGGTGTCCTTTTGGAGGAGGGCGAGATTAAGAAGAATTAAAGATTTAACAACAGAAGAAATTCATTTTTTTCTCGATGTTAAATTTCAGCTGACCTGTTTTCTGCTGCCCATCAGTCAATAATGTTTACACGCCGTAGTCATAGCAACGCGTCTTGCCCCAGGACACATCTATATGGACCAGTGAAGTTTTATTTGAAGATTTTATTATTGTAATATATCCAAAATATGAATAAACCTCAAACCTAAATAAGGTGTGATCTTTTGGCTTTTTTTAGGCGGAAACTTCTCAGAAAAAGCACGGAGACTCTAAAGCTCATGAAGCTTGGTTTCAAATATTAAGTATTTATTTAAAAAGGTACATTTAAGACAATTTGTCAGCAAAAGTTCACAAAAATATATTTATGACCAAACCTCCCCTAATCTGCTTTATTTTAGCACTTCTAAGTAGGGCCTTAGTCCTTATTAGCATTATTTCTCAATCATTTATATCAAACAGGACATCTGTCTCACTGTCCATCCTGATGGGGGGACACTCCTCTGGCTTTCTGCCTGTTGAAGGGTTTTGCTGTGCCGATGTGAGGGTTTCGGGACAAGTTGTTGCATGTGTACAGACTAAGGAATTGAGTCTGAGATTTGGGACATTTCTAACACACTATATGTTCTATATATGTGGACAAATGACTCCAAATGTAAAAAAAACAACCTTTTCCTACTAACAGTTCCACTTACTAATAAAATATCTGCTAATTCAAGTTGATTTCTGTATTTGTATCTGTTTTCTGTTCCTTTGGTGGTTACAGGGTGAACGCGCCCAGTTTAACAAACAAATTAACAGGACACAAGCATTTCCTGAGACTGTGTGCAGGGCAGAGCTTGAACTTAGTATTCATAAAATCGGGACTGCATTCAAATGTTGTTTTTAATCTCTACTAGTCACTGTTGAACAGTTCTGTTGTTGACATTGTCCATATGCATGTAAATCTGCAACCAGGGGAAAGTCATTTCTTGTGAAGCTCCACCATCACGAAGCTCTTTGTCAGCTGCTCCTCGTCTCTCCCCGTGTCCTTTGACTCCTGCTGCTCTGCCCCGTCCCCTCCTCTGAAGCTCTCTGCTGCACCGGTGGCCAGTGGGAGGTGCTGCTTCTGCTCCTCCATCTCTGCAGGATCAGACCGGGAGGATCTACTTGCAGCATGACCTGGTTCTGGCCCCGCCGTCACTGGCTGACCCAGAGTGTCCTCTCGTGTGTGTCCCTCCTCCCCGTGGTTGTCCAGTTTTCTCTCCACTTCCTTTTTGGTATCTTGCACATGCAGGGGGCTCTCGGCCAGCTCTGCTTTCTGCTGCACCGCGTCCGTCGAGCTGAGAGGAGGCTTCTGGTTGGCCGATCGTCGTATGTCTGTAAAAAACAGGACGGACATGTATAAAACTTTGCTTTTCCAGCGAGCCTCCAACATAATAATATGGGCCGACATTTAGCCTGCCAGTTCATACTGTGTTAATTACCCTTTGAATATGGGTGGTTCTCTATTGTTGTATTGATGAATCGTTATAATATTAAAGCAATAAGGTACTTGAGGTACTTGAAGTTCTGCCTCAAGTACCTTATTGCTTTTATAACACGGTTACCAGCGAAATTATAAATAGTAGCTATTATAAAAGTATAATCGCTGCCTTTCAGCACAAAATAGTTGTAGCCACCAAACGTTGTGTATCTTATTTCAGTAGTCTAGAGAAAAATAGTCCCCGTACGTGCACGTAAACAGCGTCGTGTCCCGCAGCACCTCATTCATCCACATCGCTCATGACGTCCACCTGAATTGTCCGGCTGTGAAAGCTCTCGTTGCCCCGAACCGATGAAACCCATCATTCGTCTCTAGCCTGTTACTTGGGTGCGCAGTGATGTGGAACGCTGGGGTCAATGTGAGCAGGTACTGTACGTTACGGCTGAATGATGCACTCCCCGTGACTCACTCTCAACCAATCAGAAAGCTGGATTTCGTCTACCCGTATTATATGAGATAATGTGGCCTGCTAGGAGGATTTCACCCCACTTCTAATAAATGGTCTTCTCATTCAGGGGATAGAAAGTTGAAACGGAGCCCTTTCTGGTATTCCGTGCATATTTTGCCTGGGACGTCGTAGGTGTGTGAGTGTGTTACCTGCTAGCGTGCAGGCAGGTGTCTCTGCTGTTGGCTGGGCCCCTCCATGTTTCTGCGTCTCCCCGTCCTCTCTGCTTCCATCGCTGTTCCTGATGGTACAACCTCTGCCTCTGCATGCGTCGTCGTCATCGGCTCTGCTGTCATCCTGACTGCGTGTAGATGAATGCGTGCCTTTAATACGCTCAGACCCTTTACTGTCACCACTGGGGTCATTGGTGCTGGTGGTGGTGGGAACATCTCTTCTGCTGCTGTTTGTTCGTTGAGGTTTGTCCGGTAGCAGAGGACGGCCCCTGAAGGCGAGGTCAGGGTAGGTCTTCTGCATCTCCATTATGGACTCGTCTACGCCGACGAGGGGGCAGCCTGGAGGCTCGGGCTGGGCTTCCACTGTGAGCCTGGAGTCCAAATTCAGAGGCACCTGGAGGAATAAAGCTGGTCAAGCCTGTGACAAAGGCCTTCGGATCGGACTGCTCAAATGATTGATTCTCCAGGAGGACTTCATTAAAGGACAGCATCGCCACAGCAACGGCTTTCATCATTTTTCACCATAAAGGTCTTTAGATTGAACTGACAAAACATAAAGTTTATCGGATTACTTTGTTAAAGAACCACTTTTGGAAATGTTCGAAAAATACATAAAAAACTCAAAACGATTTGGAACAATTGTCTCCTTGTTAGGTGTGCATGTGATGCATGTAGCGAACCAACCTGCTCACAAATATATCAAACAGGTATATCCCGAGATGCACTGAGGGCCAATGATGAGTTTATTTGTCAAGATGGAGACGCGTGGGGCCGGCAGCTGGAAAAGCAGCAACCTTTGCTTTTAAATGTTAACTACTGGAATTCATTTATGTTATAATGTGATATATAACCTTATCCCAACATCCCATTTTAGTAAAACGTTCAGTGACGTTAGTATCAGACAAGCTTACACTACATTTCAAGCCGCTAGTCTGCATGAACCCGACCATAGTTATTAGCTATGTTCAGTAACTTAGATAATGGTAAATGGTAAATAGCCTGTACTTGTATAGCGCTTTTCTAGTCTTCTGACCACTCAAAGCGCTTTAACACTACATGACATCATTCACCCATTCACACCCATTCATACACTGATGACAGGAGAACCACACACAGTGACACCTGCCATCAGTAACTAACATCCACACACTGTAGTCGCAGCTACAGGAGCAATGTTGGGTTAAGTGTCTTGCCCAAGGACACAACAACATGCGGGTTAGCCGGACCTGGGATCGAACCGACAACCCTCTGATTGGAGGACGACCGTGCTCCCCACTCACCCACAACCGCCCACTTAGACTGTTGACTAATATCTCACTGAGGTTGTGCCAGTTGTGTAGACAATTTTCACTTCATATTATGAACAGAAATGAAGTAAAGTGTGCTCAAGTTATCCTGAAATATCCCCTTCTAAGTCTTGGGTCTTCTAAATTGCTTCCTGGTATTTAGTTCATTAACCTGGGAATAAACTGCCTTTTACTGTTCCCAGCTGGGATTATTATATCGTCCTGTAAACAATCCCCTTTAGGTCGACCTGTGTCGACTACATAATAACGTACTGTGATAGTCCAGTTTGAAAAGTTTACCTAAGTTTGTCTAGTTTTATGTGACTTGTTCATACTAAATTGTTACGGAAAGTCTGAGAAAATCCAAGTTGTCTTACTGTGTGGTTGCTGTTGTGCATCTGTTTGTGTGTGTGTGTTTACTTGACTATATAAGTGAGTTGTACAATAAGAACCTCTTACACATCATCAGATAGAACCATCATCAGATAGAACCATCAACAGATACAACCATCAACAGATACAACCACCGTCAGATAGAACCACCGTCAGATAGAACCACCGTCAGATAGAACCACCGTCAGATACAACCACCATCAGATACAACCATCATCAGATAAACCATCATCAGATACAACCACCGTCAGATACAACCATCAACAGATACAACCACCGTCAGATAGAAACACCGTCAGATACAACCACCGTCAGATACAACCACCGTCAGATACAACCACCATCAGATACACCCGTCATCAGATAGAACCATCATCAGATAGAAGACCATCAGATACAACCATCGTCAGATACAACCATCGCCAGATAGAACCATCATCAGATAGAACCATCGTCAGATATAAGCATCGTCAGATACAACCACCGGCAGATACAACCATCGTCAGATACAACCACCGTCAGATACAACCATCGTCAGATACAACCATCGTCAGATACAACCATCGTCAGATAGAACCATCGTCAGATAGAACCATCGTCAGATACAACCATCGTCAGATACAACCATCGTCAGATAGAACCATCGTCAGATATAACCATCGTCAGATACAACCATCGTCAGATACAACCATCGTCAGATACAACCATCGTCAGATAGAACCATCGTCAGATACAACCATCGTCAGATAGAACCATCGTCAGATAGAACCATCGTCAGATACAACCATCGTCAGATACAACCACCGTCAGATACAACCATCATCAGATACAACCATCGTCAGATAGAACCACCGTCAGATACAACCACCGTCAGATACAACCATCGTCAGATACAACCATCGTCAGATAGAACCACCGTCAGATAGAACCATCGTCAGATACAACCATCGTCAGATACAACCATCGTCAGATAGAACCATCGTCAGATAGAACCATCATCAGATACAACCACCATCAGATACAACCACCGTCAGATAGAACCATCGTCAGATAGAACCATCGTCAGATAGAACCATCGTCAGATACAACCATCGTCAGATAGAACCACCGTCAGATAGAACCATCGTCAGATACAACCATCGTCAGATACAACCACCGTCAGATAGAACCATCGTCAGATAGAACCATCGTCAGATACAACCACCGTCAGATACAACCATCGTCAGATAGAACCACCGTCAGATAGAACCACTGTCAGATAGAACCAACGTCAGATACAACCACCGTCAGATAGAACCATCGTCAGATACAACCACCGTCAGATACAACCATCATCAGATAGAACCACCGTCAGATAGAACCAACGTCAGATACAACCACCGTCAGATACAACCACCGTCAGATAGAACCATCATCAGATACAACCACCGTCAGATAGAACCACCGTCAGATACAACCATCATCCGATAGAACCATCGTCAGATACAACCATCATCAGATACAACCATCGTCAGATACAACCATCATCAGATACAACCACCGTCAGATAGAACCACTGTCACATAGAACCAACGTCAGATACAACCACCGTCAGATACAACCACCGTCAGATAGAACCATCATCAGAGGCCCATCATTAAAAGCAGATTCCTCTGTTTTAACTATTATCTAACGTTATAAGCTTGTTACATGTATTTAATGAAACTACTTAAAATGTTACTGAGAGTACCTTTAAGTAGTTCAACTAGTTTTTAAAGGTTTGGAAAATAAGTTCAATATCTTTTCTCGTTTTGTGCTCCTACTGTATGTTGACATGACAACAGACGCGAAAGGAGCTGCTCAGTCGGTCAACCAGGCTCAACTCTGCATCTTTTCAATATGTACTGTACCTCTTCCATTTCATGGTTCTCCTCTTCGTTTTCCCCTGTTCCTGTTTTCTCGGTAGGTTCATCCAGTTGTGAAGGCCCCATTCTCCTCTGGAGGACCTCCATAAATTCCTGCAGTGCAAAGTTACAGCACATGACGTGAGAAGGCCCAGCTGTGAACACTATTGCTGCTATTCATGGTTCATTCATTGATTGGTGTAGTGTGTGAGTCTGGCGCATACTTAACCCTGTATCCCACAATGTGTGATCAACCAGATTCCCTTTGTAATTGCATTATTTTGGTAAAACTGAACTTACCTGTGGTTCCAGCTGATCCTTCTCCAAGATCTCCAGCAGGTGGTCACATTCCACCCTGGCCAGCAGCAGCTCAAAGGCCAGCAGCATGGCCCTGTCTGGGTCAGCATCTTCTCTCAGTCTGTATTCACTGAAATGCATGGAGCAGTTTAGAGGACAACTGGAGAGAACCAGACCAACAGTGAAGACATTCAACTCGTTTATAGCTTTCCCCATTTGCATCAAGATCCGCTGATTCAGTTGGAGCAACTGCAACCAGTTTCCTAATTGTGTGTGAATTTAAGATCAAGTGGTTGAAAGCTGAAGATCGGAGCTCTAACGCGGCCTGGATGGAGTATGCACAGGACTTCCTCCTCTTCTTTTGCTCTTAAGGAGTGTGACCTTTACGGAAATTAAATCTCTTATAGAACAAAACAAACAAAAAAATAAAAATAAAATAAAATGAATTCTCAGATCATATTCATTAATCTTGTTGACTAAATATTCCATCACTGAAGCTTTTTCGTTGTACATTAATAATATTTTACTCTACCAGCTCCCTTAGAACATTTTTTGTTTCTTTCTCTCGCTGACTCGTACCTCCAAAAGAACAAAAACACGCTTTCTTCTTCTTCACAGAATTCACACTTTGCATTATTACGCTTCCTAATGACATAGGAGGAACCATTCAGACCAGTGTGGCCATTCCAAGTCTCAACCCTCTTTTCTGTTCCGCTTGGTCCTGCACCCTCAACCAAGGGTTTATTCTTGAACAGATATCTCTCAGATACCACGTTAGCTGCTGACCTACTTACATTTACAACAATATTTCTGCCACTCTTCAATGAACCACTAATAGAGATTGTAGTGTCTTTCATTTCTCACATTTCTACCTGCAATGCCTGCACAGGTTTTGTTTTAAAGGCTCCACTACAAATTCTTAATGCTTGTGCTTCTATTGTCCCTCTTGTGTCAAACACTCCAGTTTCCTTCCATGGGATACCACGTATAACGCCTCTCACGAAGGGCCCATCACCTGCTCGTCGTCCTTACACTTGATCAACACGCCACCATCATCCAGCACCTTCGCCAACTTTCTCCTTCAACTCGTGAGTCAGCGCCACCAGACTTACTTTCCTCATATCATTCCGTCCCGGAATCTCAGAGTTACTTTGAAACGCTCATTTGCAACCATCTTCTTCCTCATCTACCTTCTTCTTCCTCTCTCCCTTCCAAACTACAACCAGACACCATTACCATTCCCGAAGGCCTTCTAAACCTCATCTTAATTTCTCCCGTTGTAAATACGTTGTAATAGCAACAAACCCCAACCGCGTTCCACTGAACCGGCCAATGGGGGAGAGCCCCATTCATCAGCCTCCCCTCACCTGTTCCCTCACCTGCCTGATCACTAACAAACCCGATGCCCCCCAGGAGGGATGAACAGAGCTCGTGCTTTAGGGCTGAGGTGACCGTAGAGGAGGTTTCATTGCTGACGTGAAACAATGGTTGACAGCTGCTCTGACCATGATGGTGATGTGATGGATGATGTTACCCCGATATCAGCATTTCAAATATCGCCAGCGTACGTTCGAAGAGAAAGACCCTGAACTAGGTTTGCTACTACAATAAAGCCACCACTGTTCTCAAAGATCTTTAGCAATTCTACTAAAAGTTGTATAGCAAACACATGTTTCCCATGCCGATGGAGACCCTTTTCATTGAATTGAATTGATTATGGACACTTGTAAATGAGACTTGTCTCCTATGTCCTTGACTGTGAAGAATTCCCCCTGTGCTTGGTCAGGTTTCCCTGGGTGTGCTGTCCCTCTCGGGTCCTACCTTGGAGTGTCAGGACGAGGCACGTAGCCGATGGAAGCCAGAACGGACTGAATGGTGGAGCTGCTGAGAACCGGCACGAGACCGTAAATAAACGCGCCCGTAAACGTCTGAAGAAGACACGAGAAACACAAGTACACAGTTACCCGCACGGGAGCGACTGAAGGAAGGAAGGGAGGAAGGAAAGAGAAGAAACGAGCCACCTTCAGCGTCCTGATCTCTTTCTTCCAGGGCTGCAGGAACAGATTGAGGCAGATGGTCTCCAGCAGCTGGGTGGCTCTGCTGAAGGCGCACAGATGTTTCCTCCCGTACGCGCCGCTGCGCGCCCGGTGGTGCGCCACGGCCCGGTGGAACGGGAACACGGTGAAAGGCCCCGGGGGCTGCGGGCCCCCCCGCAGGTACCGAGCCGCCGTGTTGAGCAGCGACGGGTCGCGGCACGGGGCCACCTCGGGACGCGGCTGGTAGAAGTGGACGTAGTCCTCATACAGCTGCTGCCGGGAGACCTGCGGCTGCTCCTCCGACCTGGTTCCGTCCTTCATGAGCGACATGACACGAGGAAGTGAAGGAACCCGACGAGGAAGTGAAAGTGACAGCAGGGTGTTTGTGTGTGTGTGTGTGTGTGTGTGTGTGTGTGTGTGTGTGTGTGTGTGTGTGTGTGTGTGTTCTCATTGTATGTTTAAACATTTAATGAAAATAGCACATGTGTCAAATAAGTGACCCCCCCCCTCCCCCCTCACTACACAACATGGATAATAATGAGATGAGACTTGAGTCCAGAAAATGTCTTCACAAGCTTTGTTCTCTCCAGAGAAGGTTCACAGGTCCGAGTGAGAAAGAACTCACTAGAAACCAGTTGTGTTGTCCAATGTAACAGACACAGAGTTGGCGGTTTACACACAGTTCACTTCCCAAGGTGTGGACAGCAGGAAGAACCCGAGTCCATTGGAAGGAGTGAACTCAGGTGGCATCTTGGTGTCTCGTGTGGGAGTGAAAGCAATGCTGGGAGTCGGGTTGCTACTGTAGGATATTAGAAATAAACTGACGACCCGGTTCATAAAATTAATAAAATGCATATAGTGTACACCAGAATACAGCCATGATTCTGAAACTGTGTAATCAATAAAGTAATGACAATATTGTAAAACCACTGTAATTCTGCAACTGTAATAGAATAATACCAATGTACAGTTATGATTGTATTTAATGTAATGTGATCAACTGTAATGCATGCATGTAATACTTGAACAACAACTGATATTGACTGAGAGAACTCGAAATCCGAGTTACATTGAACTCACCAGAAGACTCCCAGAGGTGTGGACACTGACTTTCACACCTTTAAGCATTGTTATAAATACCTGTAGGAACCATTGTTCTGGAGTTCGCTGGTGGAGGCGACAGACGGGCACTATGGGGGGTCAAAGCACTGACCTGGGGCCTGTTGGTGGCTGAGACCAGCGGCTCCTCAGCTGAGATGTTCTTTTTACCACAACACCATCTCTTTTATTAAATACATTTGATTTTAACCTTTTGATCAGCGATGACCTCTGTCCGTCCGGCGTTTTTTCAGTTTTGAACACAACATTACCATCTAACTGCAGAGACACTCAATGTAAAAACGTGTGTGTCTGTTCTGATTGGTTAGTGTTTTACAACACAACAAGAACCTAAGCCCTGTTGACATCACTGCCAAGGCGCTGTAGAGGCATGGAGAGCAGTTCAGTACTTTATTTTATTTTTATTTTTCAACCTCTGTGAACTAGTACACATTTGCTATTGCACTCGTGTTTTGATGCAGGAAGGACAAAGAGATTTGAGGCGAGCTTTGTTCCAACAGTCATGGATCAGTTGAAGTCCATCAGATGGACAATGTACGGGAGGTTTCACTCACAGTACGCTATACATCTGCCACTTTCATTATTTATTGTTCTGTTCTGTTTCTTCTTACTTTGCCAAGACCATCCAGTGACCATATGTGACACCACATGCTCGATACAGAAGGGGGCGCTGTGCGCCGACTCCGCAACGGTTGCAGCCTGACATGAAACTGAGAATAGAAGAAGAAGAAGAAGAAGAAGAAGTAGTAGTAGTAGAAGAAGAAGAAGAAGAAGAAACTTCGTTTCCGGGTTCGGCTCCCGCACGCTGGCAACCCTCACAACACGTCCGCGTGCGAGAGCCCGAAGCCGGCCGCATCACCGCCGAAGAGTCCGCGCGTCGTGGAGGTAAAACACTTGATTTAGTTTCCTCTGAAGCTCATTTCATAAAGGAACATTTGGTGTAAGTTAGCGTTGCCGTGGAAGTCTTTGTTAGCTTATTATTCCCCCTCATATTTCACCGTTTCCAACGCTGCAATAAATAAATGGTAACAAATAGTTACATCAGTAACGAGGAATTATCAAGAAGAACCGTCTCTGCTCACACGTGACAGACTACGGCTTCTCTATTAATACAATGCTTGTTCCTGGTTAATGTTCCTGTGTGTACATCTGTCCCTGGTTTGAGTCCTATTGTTCGCAGTGCATGTGATGAACACCTGTGAAATCGTCCACTAGTGATGAAGAGATGGATATTTAAGTCTGGCCAATGAGAATAGAAGGTGGAGGAATGAATAGGTTGTGTAGTGCATCACTGCACGGAGGTGTCCTGCAGTCCGGACATACTGGGACTCGCTTGTGTCTCTACAATAGGCTCTGTGAAGGACTCTGGCTGCTATGGCAACCATTACGTCTCCTCATTATCTTCCCAGCTCAGAGACCGTGAGGCCACTTGAGAATGTAACGATACCAAATGGGAATCCAGACGTAGTTTGGAAGAATGGTACAAATGTCCTGAGCCTGTTACTTTGAACGTGTGAGCGCGCTGTAAGCAGGAGGTAACGTGTCACCGCGGTGTTGCATCGCATCGAGGTTCTTTCGTTTAGAAGATCTTGTCGCTGTGAGTTGCTTATGCCAAAGAATGTGTGTGTGTGTGTGTGTGTGTGTGTGTGTGTGTGTGTGTGTGTGTGAACTAAACGCTGTGCTGTGTTTCCTTTAGTGTGTCCTGCTGCACGGGGATGAAGAACAGAGGTGTTTGTCTGGACAGTCGGCTCAGACCGCGAGTGGAGCAGGTACAAATCCTCCTTCCCCTTTGTGTGCATGTTATTAGTTCACAGGTATTCATTTCACACACACGCCTGAAGGATCGGGTCATTTCAATCAAGTGAAAACAGACTCCCACTCACATCGTACTCGCTGTGTAACATATGATCTAACTGATGCTCAGTTTGGCAGCGTTCACTACAGGGCTGTCACAATTGTCCAAAAGGGACGTTCGAATATTCGCTTTAAAAAAAGGCAGATATTCGAATATTATACAAATAATACAAATTTATACAATGAGACAGAACTACTTGTATAGGTCATTTATTAAGTTAAAAGATGTTTCAGAACATATTACCTGCACAAAAATAAGTAAATTAACTAACGGCCACGACTCTCTCTCTCTCTCTCTCTCTCTCTCTCTCTCTGCGCAAAGCGGTTTAAATGAACAACAAGAATAAACATGTGCTGATCAAGAGCAGTTTATGGTTGTGATTCTTGTCCCACATACGTCAGGCTTCATTCAGTGATTGAACCTGAAGGTTTCACAGTACTGACGTTGAATCCTGCGAGCGAGCTGAGCTGTAAACACGGAACTTTTCCTTGGCATGAAACGGCAAATAATCAAAGCAGTGCATGAAGCTGTTGTAGCCTATTTTATTCATGCAGTACACAGTCAGTAGTCAGGCACGCGCCCACTAAGCAGACAGTCGTTCCGCCTTCTACAACTCGTAAGAAATCATGAAAATGGGACCAAAAGGGCAGATTTTCAACGATTAATGTCAGCGCCCCCTCTTCTTCAAATATTCTCAGAAAGCCAGGGTGTGTTCAGGGGTTCAATGTTCACATGTGTTGCATGTTTTATGAGGGCAGGTCAAACCATTCAGAAGTTATAAGTCGCGGAAAATCTAGATGGGCGTATTTGCATACCATGATTGACTTTTTTTGTAGAGCATGTCCAACAGCACATGTGTGCCAGATGTCAAGTCAATTGGACCTCGGGGGGAAACTTTCTATCATATGGTACGAGAACATAGACGAGGATGACCGACTTCATCCTGACCCTGTTTGATGTTGAATTCTGCTTCCAGTATCTGGCGACCTGCTCCAGTGAATATGTGGACATTTCAGCCTTGGCCCTGGAACTTCAAAGGCTGTACAGGCAAGTGCATCATTTAAGGATTCAAAGATGATTTACTGCCATTGTGCAACTCAAGGATGCATAACATCCCCCCCCGAACTAACTAGAACAACTAGACTTAAAATGGCAGCTCTATAAAGCTGTTGCCTGTAAAAGTATATTACATTTATCTTCAGAATGGAGTACGGCAGAAGAAACAAGAACGCTTTCAGGATTCAAGTAGAGAAAGGTAAACGGGGCTAAATGCTCTGATGACATTGTAATACTCCACGTACGTTTAACCGCCAGTCTTAACTTCTCCATCTTCTCTCTCAGTGTATGACGCAATTATGAAGGACTCTGGGCTCACTGACCTGGAGAGCAAACACTTGGCTAAGAGAGCCAAGCACAGCCACAATGACACCGGGTAAAGGGCACTTCACTGGCTGCTTTCTAACCATCCTTCCTTCTTAACGTGCTTTCTAAGCGACTACTAAGGCCGTACAACTGTGTGTGTTCACAGGGACGATGGCAGCAGCTCGGACCAGTCCTCCGACAGCGAGGAGCAGCCTGTGGAGAATCCTGTAAGATGAGCACGTTGCTCATCGAATTTAGACTGAGTCCTTTTGTGCTGCTTTCCTTCTTTTTCTCACCAAAATCCCCGGTTGCTTTAATAACCTTGTGTAGAGCTCTTGTGTCCTGATATAAAATGATGATATGAAGTCGAGCGGTTCTAGGAGGATGAATGTCGCTTTAACGTTGCTGCGTACTCTCCGAGTGGGTGCAGAGTCCATGTTGCATCTGAACTGATCCTGGTTGGCGCTCTCTGGCGTTCACAGCCCACCAACCACATGAACAGCTCCCTGACGTCTCTGTACCGGAAGGGCCTCCCCGAGCCCAACGACGGTCCGCCTGCCGCCGGCGGTCCTGCTGACTCGGGCACGCTGGTTTCCACGGGAGGCTGGTTCATTGATCGAGGCAGAGGACCCGGGAAGAGCAACATCCTCATCGACCTGTGTGACGAGGAGCCAACTGATGCGCAGAGAGTATGTTTGAGTGGCTGTGGCACAAAAGATGCATCCGTGAACCAAGTGACTATTGAACCGTCCAGTGTGGCCACCTGATCATCCCCCTTTCTGACTGTAGCAGCTGACGCTGTCCTGCGTCTTTTGTTCACCAGCAGGCCGATGTGTCCATGCTGGAGCCGGCGCCATCCTCCAAAAAGTTGAGGAGAAAGAAGAAGAAGGAATCCTCTGAATCGACAGACCCTCCGATGCTCAATAAGAAAGGTACCACGTTGTAGTTTGCCAGTCTAACTTAAAGCATAAATGGTTGATCATCACAGCGGCGTATTTCATGTGTAGTCAATGAATATATGCTTTTATTTGTATGTGTATCTGTTTAGTTTATTGAATGCTTTGTCTGTTAATTCCATCAGATATTCATAATGCTTTTCCACAGTAACTATTCTGTATCATATTTATTTCTGTATCCATCATTTCTCAGCAAAATCCAAGTCACTAGAGCTGCAGTATCCAACTCTGAAGTTTGAAGACGTCGGCGGCAATGAAGCGACGTTAACGGTGAGTTTGATGCGGCGCCAACTTTGTCCGGGTAAAAACCTGTATTAGGAAGCCATTGTTTCCACTGTGAACCCTTTTCCATCGCTGCAGGAGGTGTGCAGGCTGCTGATCCACATGCGGCACCCGGAGGTGTATCAGAAGCTGGGGATGGTTCCTCCGAGGGGCTTCCTCCTCCACGGCCCCCCTGGCTGTGGGAAGACCCTGCTGGCCCAGGCTGTGGCTGGGGTGAGTCCAGGGACAGTAGTGTTTCGCGTTGCTCCGTGGTCATCAATACAACCTGGAGGTGGGTGGGTCAATTCTCACCTCTTTGTTCCAACGCCTCGTGTGCTGGGCTCCTGCGTTTGACCAAAGGTTATTTTTAGTTCATGCGCTTCAGCTGTTATCAAAAAACTTGTGAAAAACGCTCCACGACAAGATCTTCCAAGTATGTGAGTGTAATCCAGGTCCCTGGTGTAACGGTCGGGGAAACGCCTTTCTGTCTGTGTTCCAGGAGCTGCAGCTGCCCATGTTGAAGGTGTCTGCTCCAGAACTGGTATCGGGAGTGTCCGGAGAGTCTGAACAGAAGCTCAGAGAGCTGTTTGACCTGGCGGTGGTCAGTAGTGGTTTCCTTCTTGAAGATCAGTTTAGAGGTCTCAACAGTTAGCTAGAGGAGGCTCGAGGTGCGATCGGCAGTACGACTCAGACCTGCAAACCTTTTTGGTCGAAACCCAAACGGGTTTTCCACATGACTCGTGTAGATCCGAGCGACTCCCTGGTGTGTGACGTGGAAGCACGTATCGCTCTGCTGTTACTGTCCTCAGTCCCAGCTGTGTCCAAGAGGAGACGCACACGTCTCCGCGTCCAGGCCGATCCTACAGGGTCCCTCACAATCATGCATGTTAGGCCATGACCTCACTTAGCTTGCCTCACTATGCAGGTGCTGAGACATAATATGTACGCCGTGTCTTTCTCTCTTTATCCGTGTGTCACCCCCCCCGCAGACCTCTGCCCCGTGTATTCTTTTCATTGATGAAATCGATTCCATCACCCCCAAGAGAGAGGTGGCCTCTAAGGACATGGAGAGGAGGATTGTAGCCCAGCTGCTAACGTGCATGGACGGTATGCTACATCAAGCAAAGGACGCAAACAGAAATGCACGGGCCCAATGGTATCTTACTGGTGTTTGCGTCCCTGCAGACCTGAACAGTCTGACCGTGACCGCTCAGGTTCTGGTCATCGGTGCCACCAACAGGCCGGACTCCCTGGACCCGGCCCTCCGCAGAGCAGGGCGCTTTGACCGAGAGATCTGCCTCGGGATCCCCGATGAAGCGGCTCGTCTCAGGTCAGCCAAACACCCCCAAATCTACCACGGTCAATGTATGTAACGCTTTTGTAACCCATAAACTATGATCATCCAACACTAAATGTCCCGCGTGCTATTTGCATATTTATTCAGCAGTGTAGGATTGAAAAGTGTCCGTAAATGCTCCAACATTCTACGTATGTGAATGAAATCCAGCACACATTCCAGTAAACGACATCACCCGACGAGGAAAAGACCAACTGGACCCCAACGCCTTATTCCCAATGCTTTTAAACGGCTTTAGATAAAATGTCATTTATGTAATTGGTATTATATTAGAGCAAGGCGTCAACACCCGCCTCTCATAGGGTTTGATGGACACAGACGTCAGGGCGAGTGCGATGGATGTGCGTTGGAAGCCGCTCCAGTGATCTGTTGAAGATCAGCTGGTCAGCATAGAGCTTCATGCAGGAAGGCGGCACACCGCCTGAGAGACCCGAGCCGACGCTGGAGTTTAGCAGTGAACTGTGGTTTATTGTTGAGCGACGTCCTCAGAGCAGCTGACGTATGATGTCACAGTGTTCGGTATCTCCTCCAGGTCTGCAGCAGCTGTAGAACAAATCAGTGCAGTCAGAGTGGGACTGTAGTTCCAGCTTCCAGAGCGCTGTGCAGGGGTCCAGTGTGTGTCTCTTGGAGGTGGAATGTCTGGCCTGTGCTTCACTGAGCTTCACTGACTCGGGTTTCAGGTGAAGTCTGGGAGCTTTGTTGAGGAGCAGCAGTCGATGCGTCAGGTCGACCAGAGATTGCACGTTCGCCAGATGAGTTGATGGAAGAGCAGCTCCTCCGGCTCGCTTCCCCCGTCGACGTGTCAGGAGGAGGCGCTCAGTGAAACCTTCCGTTTCAATGAAATACAGTGAGAAGTTTGACCAGTCCGTTGTCCATCGTTCCTCCCTGCTGAATGCGATCAGGGCGGCGAGGGAGACGGAGCAAACCAAAAAGGAGAAAGTACGCGAGAGCGCCATCCACATGACCTGATAGCGTTTGTAGTTTTATCATTGGTCATCAAATATACAATATCTGCACAGCTTTGATAAGCAGCCATCACTCATGTCAGCGAATACTCCCCCGCGCACCGCTTGCCTCTGTGACTAGAATTTCATCAAATCGTGTTCATGGTCCTTTGAAGCGAGCACAGACCCTTTTGCCGTCGTTCGGATGGAGGTAAATGAGCTCACCTTTCCACTCCAGGCCGCTCCGTTCTGATACCGAAACCCAGTGTCTTCTGCTTTGCAAGGATCTTGCAGACGCTGTGTCGGAAGCTGAAGCTGCAGGAGGACTTTGACTACCAGCAGCTGGCCCGGCTGACCCCCGGCTACGTGGGTGCCGACCTCATGGCTCTGTGCCGTGAAGCCGCCATGAGTGCCGTCAGCAGGGTCCTGCTGGAGATGAGAGGGCGCCGCCAAAGCCACGGCTCGACTTTAGCGCCGTTAACGGGCCCCGTTCAGGCAGACGGAGAGGCAACAGACGTCGCCCCTGTGCCCCCACAAGGGTCTGCACAGACTCCCCTGCAGGTACGACCCACAAGCTCAGTCATGATGGAATATGTATTATAATACGGGTAATGTAATGTACTGTCTCGCTGGCCCACGGAGTCCGCACATGGCGGCCGTCTTGGTACAGTCAGCTCGCTCCCGCATAGCCTAACATTGTGTTGGTAGTGGTGCATGTACTTTTAAAATAACCGTTTAAAATTGAGAAAGTTATGGTTTGTTATAAACGTCAGATGTAGTTATGACACTGCATACATACTATGAATAACTTATGTTCTAAAAAATAGAATAATGTTGTAAAATAGGTACAAGATTTCCCAAATACACATCAAGAAATGCTGCATGTTGAAATCCCCACCCTGTACAACACTGCATACCTGTGAATAATTATAACAAAAATGATGAAACAGAACATCATTCCTAAGTACACAGTGTCATAACTACATCTGTGACGTTTATAACAAACAAACCGTTTAAAAATCGGTTGAAAATTGAGCAAGTTATTATTATTTAAACTACATGTACCACTAACACAATGTTATGGGTGAGCGAGCTGACTGTACCAAGATGTGCGGACGTTCTATGGTTTTGGTGTGTGTTTTTGTCTTCATGGGTATTAACCTACGGAACCCAATGGCCCCTGAGGGACGCGTCTCTGTGGCTGTTTTATAGCTGATCATCACTGAACCGTTGCTTGTTGTCAGACACAAACTTCTAGTTGTTCACTTGTAGTTCTTTGCTTGGTGACTCTTTGATCAGGGATGCAAACCTTTAGAAGCGGCAATATTTATATAGAAATAGTTCATATTCTCTGGTCAGCTGATGCCTTGTTTACTTATGCCGCTCATTTAGACATTAGAATTCCATTTTGATTTTTCCTAACCAGTTACAACATAAAAGCATGTTGCCCACGGGGGAAAATCAAGGCCGTAAAAGGTTTTTGAAAATACCTATAAACATCTGGATGGTTAAAAGTGCTTGAATTTACATAAATTAAATCTATGTCACCATTTTTAGCGGGAACATCAATTTAAGTCCTTTAAATGTTCGTGTGCCTCCTTGACTCTGGCAGGCGTGTCCTGTACAGTCCTTCGTGCTTGCGTTTGCCGTTGGGGAGGGCGCGGTGTACATCCATTTTGGTGCTAAAGCGTGGTGTCGTGTCCAGCAGGGGGATCTGTGGCACCTCCTGCAGTTGTTGAAGAACACTACAAGTCTATCAGAGGAGGAGCTGGCTGGTCTGTCCATCCTCATGTCAGACTTCCTGGCCTCTCTGTCCAGTGTCCAGCCCTCCGCCAAGAGGGAGGGCTTCGCCACCGTGCCTGATGTCACCTGGGAGGATGTGGGGGCCCTGCAGGACATCAGAGAGGAACTCACCATGGCCATACTGGTGAACAAACGAGCACCTCCGTTGTCGGTGTCCTCGCTGCACTGAAGTACAACTGTCTTTGTCATTCTAACACCTGATCCTCCGCCAGGCTCCAGTGCGTTCCCCAGAGCAGTTCAAGGCGCTGGGCCTCAGTGCTCCATCTGGTGTGCTGCTGGCTGGACCTCCGGGATGTGGGAAAACCCTGCTGGCCAAGGTTCCCCTCCACGAAAACACAAAGAATTGTTCCCCGCTACGATCAGCATTGTTATCTCTCCACAGAGGATTTGCAATCAGAGATCCTGAATGATCAGTTTAGTCAGATTGATAAAGGCTCATTTATATCTTTAGAAGAGCAAACAGTAACTGGAAGTTATTCATGAAGCTCACTGTGTCTGCAAGTTATTTGATGAAACATCTCAACCATTTTGACACAAAACTAAAGCATTCAGGCAGAAGCATTAAAAGAATAACTTGCCACGTGTAGCCGTCTATAGACGAACCGGCATGGTTTGTGTTGCTACGGTGCATGTTCTCCTTCCTACACTGTGGGGACAGACGTGTCTCTGTTGTCTCCTGCCAGGCAGTGGCCAATGAGTCAGGCCTCAACTTCATCTCTGTCAAAGGTCCGGAGCTGCTGAACATGGTGAGCCACTAAGCAGCCAGCACACATTCAGATGGTCCTCCCCCGCCGTGCTCACCGCATGTTGTGCTCACTGCAGTATGTGGGAGAGAGCGAGCGGGCTGTCCGGCAGGTCTTCCAGAGGGGACGCAACTCGGCTCCTTGTGTCATCTTCTTTGACGAGATCGATGCTCTGTGTCCTCGCCGCTCAGGCCACGAGGTGAGCCAGATGGACTTCGTGGTGGTGAAAACATGTCTTAAGTGGAGTGTGGGCTAAACGGGGTTTGTGTGTCTCCAGTCGGGGGCCAGTGTGCGCGTGGTCAACCAGCTGCTCACGGAGATGGACGGCTTAGAGACTCGACGGCAGGTCTTCATCATGGCAGCAACCAACAGACCAGGTAGCGTCGCAGGCTGAGGCCTGTCCCCGCCTTCACAGGGGACATCACTCACTAGATGTGCCACTCGGATATAGTTGCGTCTCAGCTCATTGCTTCACTAACACAGCACCCCACGTCGTACGATACACGTCCACCGTCCTCTCTATGGCGTCCTGAACCGGTTCATCCGAGACTGACCCAGAGCATTCAATCCACCCAAAAGGGAAATATGAACGAAAAGTAAAACAACACTAGTTTTGTACTTCCATCATTTATCTTGTGAGGCGTTGGAAGGGCCTGATACCACGGGCGGTAACGAGTTCTTACTCTGCTGTCAAATGTACAAATGTTACAGCCAAACGGATGTTGGCAATGGAAATCAGAGAGCACCTTCCTCGGAACAATGCAATGTAAACGTTCACCAGAAAACCCCCCAGAGTGAGGAAAGATCATGCAGTTAAAGTTGAGGAGGGTTGTCCTGTGGAGGGAAGCTGTCCCTCAGCCTGGTCGTGTTGGACCAGATGCAGTGATTCGTACTGCTCTCAACAAGAGAATGAAGCCTCTGATCATGTAGCCGATCATGTAGCTGAGAGGAAAACGCTTAAATGAATTACAAGTAAATTCAGAAATGACAAAAGCTGAGATGAGTTTTAAAAAAAACTGCTATAGCTGCCAAGTAACCCTTGACCGTGGAGAAGGCTTTCCCATTGTCCCTCAAACACTCTCCACTTACAGTCCTACGGGGACCTAGTGGAGGAGGCTCGAGCACTTTGTATAGTATAAATCACCCGCTCAGGGGCCAGGCCCACAGCACCAGACGTTCTGGGTGCGAGTGGAATGGGTAGAATGTGTTTTGGACTTTCCTCCCACATATTGATTCAGAGAGTCAAAGAGTCCGTTTCCTGTTTTAACGCAATTAAAACAGGATCATGAAACCGTATATTGCGTAATGATAACAGCGCAATAAGCAGTATTCCCCAACCGTGATTATCTGATGTGAATCTAAATGTCTCCTGTAGATATAATCGACCCCGCCATACTGAGGCCTGGTCGTCTGGATAAGACCTTGTACGTGGGGCTGCCGCCTGAGGCCGACCGCCACGCCATCCTGCTCACCATCACCAAGGTACGCGCTGCGCCCGTGCATGAGAGGCCTGCTGGCTTGTATTAACGTACACGTCCGGGTACTCTGTTGGGTGGGCCCGGTTCATTCGACAAAGAAACCAGTTTGCCGCTGCTTTCGGTTTCTGTGTGGAGCTATTCTAAGCCCGTCTCAGAGCGCTGTGGCTCTTCTGCAGGGAGGGACCAAACCTCAGCTGGAGCACGACGTCTGCCTCAAAGAGATCGCCTTCGATGAGCGCTGTGATTGCTTCAGGTAGCTCTCCTTGTACGCCTACTGGCCACACTCACACGGTTTCTCCTTCCTCCAGTCTGACAAAACAATCCAATCCATTTGTAATGAAATCTCATTCCGTGTGTGTGTGTGTGTGTGTGTGTGTGTGATACAGTGGAGCTGACCTGACTGCGTTGGTGAGGGAAGCATCTGTTAATGCCCTGAGGGGCTACCTGAAGTCTCAGCCCCCCCAGGCTGCTTCTACCGGTAACTCATACCTGTACTTGCCTGTGCACGCTGTTGGTAATGACTTTGTTTTAGTTTAGGTAGTAATTTGACTGCCATCTTTTTATTTAACGCCTTTCACTCAGTACAGTCATTTAGAATTTGAAATATTCTGTTCGTTTCGTATTCCTCATGTATCACACTGAGATGTTTGCATGCATATGAAGAGAATAGGCAGGACCTGAAGCACAGCACATGTTCTCACTTGTGCTGCTACGGGAAAAGTGCGTCCACAGTTCTAGAGGCTTATTGGAACCAACTTTCACAAGCAGCAAACTCTGGTGGAACGTTGAGGTGCCGACAACGGCGTTTCTGTCCGTTACCGACTCTACACGTCCGTAGAGTCTTGTGTTGGTCTCTGTGGCTCATTTACCTCTACAGGGCAGAATGTAGAGAATGCGTGAGCCACGGCCGCTGCCAGCTCCACAGCGCTCCACAGCGCTCCACCCCTCCAGCCATGTCTGGGTGAGTCACTGACTAGAAGGTATTTGTCGCTCTGCACAGGCCACACGTTCTCTTCTGACTCAGTCGCTGACCTCAGAGTGAGCAAACAGAACTTTGACGACGCCCTCAAGAAAGTTCGTCCATCTGTGTCCAAAAAGGTAAAGACAACGTATTTCTTCATTTTCTCCTGAAATGCATGAACCTCTCAGCTTTTAACACTTTGAAACGTCATAAACAAAACCTCCAGTGACTGAGCGACCCACCAGCAGCACCAACCGTATCCCAGACGCATTACAGTAAAGCACCAACTGTCATTTAGTTTAGCCTGGATTCTCCGTTACCGCCTGGATTAGAACGCAACCATGTTGTTTTTCTCCTTTTTATGTGGACCAAATGAACCACACTACAGGTAAACGCGTCCCTCAAACGGAGGCAGACGGGCTTCTGTGTTTAGTGAGTGCCAAGTCGAGAGGCTGTAAACAGCCACAACTGTTCTGTGTTCCTTCTGCAGGATCAGAGGATGTACGAGCAGCTCAGAGAATCCCTCAGCAGATAACCAAGACCAGCAGCAGTTGAACTCTGACCCTGGTCACACAAAAACCACGTATGTGGATACATGGTAACGCTGATTCTTGCTTTCATAATAAAAGTGTGTGTAGAAACCATCCTTGTATGTGACCCTGGGTACAATCTGTTGGAGGAATGGCAAGTGAGATCCTTGAGGAGCAGCTCCTGCAGGTGCTGCCTGCATGCTCCTGCCACGTGAGGCCGAGCACTGTAGTGCATCAGGAGGATTCCAGGGCCGACTGCCAGCGTAGGGTCCGACCCCGGGTCCCCAAACCTCACTGACCTGAGCACAGGGCACACAGCAGGACGCCCTGAGGCCTCCATCATGAAGCTGTTTGTGATCCAGCGGCCTGCTGGAGGTCATTCTGCAGTCGCTTCTGCTGTAGGGTTGAGGACGTTTCTCTCCTGGAATCTTCTCCATGTTCTGGAGGTTGTGCTGGGAGACACATCACATCTCCTTGTATCTGTGCAACTGCAACTTCTGTAGTGTTGGGAAATGGCCTCACGCTCCCAGTAGTGATAATGACCAGTAGTGGAAAACCAGTCAAAGAGATCCAGAGGGAGAAACTTGAATTGGCCTCCACATGCAAAAGCCGTCCTGGTTGGGGGTTGTCTCACTGTTGCTCCTCATGTGCACCTGTTACACTCCAGCTGCTACTGAAACGGGCTCAGCTATTTACCCAACCAGATCATTATCAGTGCATTTGAATTCCTGCCATATTCTGATTAAAGAGTGTTCCTCTGAGCAGTGAACAAGGCTTCAGGGACAAATCCCACATTGTTTAAAACGACTGACACGGTATTGGTCTGCTGAGTTTCACACATTTGAAGTTCCTTAATGAAAAACAACGTAGGGCAGTTTACCTACTGGGGCTGTGGTGTGATGACGGCCCCAGGAGAGAACTCACACCAATGTTTCATTGTTGGACTGTGGCTGCTGGGAGTCATGTGACAGGCGTTCCCTTTGTTCTCCCTTCATCCACTAGAGCGCCCAGGTATGTGGCAGAACAGTAATTTAATATTACCACGCTGAAAGATGGCAGCTGATACAATCTGCTAAACTCCTCGGCCCGGTTCCTCTGGGGTCGGATCCGCCGCTCCGCTTCTACGCCCGCGGGGAGGAGATGTGCTTCTTTGTGGATTTAGAATCATTGTTGTAATTCACTTAAAAGGGGGAAGTGTAGCAGGCTTTGAGACACTGGACGTTGAGATCAATGGACTGTGTATGCTGGTACATGTTCAGAATAACGTGCGGCGTCTGGACGGCGGCCATCCAGACGCACTTTCTGGAGAAGTTTGCAAAGTTCACCGAGCTGATAATCTCATGAACCCAAACACGAGGGCGTTTGTGTTTTTTTCCACAACAAGTTTAGAGCATAAATAGTGGTAATTTCCATAGAGGATAAGTTTAGGAGACGAGCCACTCCTGACTGGTATCACTGGGTTGGTATGGCGACCGTTTGTTGTGATCACAGGAGGTTAAATAAATGTAGCTTCGTTCCTCTTGGCTGACTCACCGTGTCAGGACAGCCGCTACATGCTGCGCTCCTGCTGGTTTAGTTTGCCCTCAAGAACCTTCTGGATGTTCCATGTTTCACTGCTTCAATTGGCTGAATTTCTAATTAGGAATAATAGATACACACATACTGATTACTGATGTCCGGTTTGAATCAACATTGTTTGAGAGGAAGCGAGATAGTCAGCTCAAACAAACCCGACTAACAGGACGCTGGATCCACGTACGAGGACGTCCAGGGTCCAGGGCCCCGGCCTGCTGATCTGCTCATATAATCCATGGTTGCTAAGGAACGTTAGTACAGCAACAAGCTTTTGTCAATAACCTCAATGAGGTCGGACTTGTGCTCCTTTTCATATTGAGTGAAAACTATGAGGCCTGATTTATAGTTTGGTTATTGGTCCCTCATCCCAGGGCGGTGTCCCCTTATGACATTTCTCATTTTATTTATTGATAAGTAAAAGATTAATGTCTATACGCAAAGCTGATAACCAAAAACCCCTCCTACCAAATGTACAGTTAATATGCCCTTTTTCCCTTCCCTCCCTTTTTGCTGTTAACTTCATAGTTGTTTTTCTTCTTGTCTTGTAGCCACAAAAAATATATTCCAATAGGTTTACAGATTTTTCCTCATTTTGTTTTATTGGCTTTTTCATCAAATTGAATAAAATCAGTACATTTAAATCAACACCTTAAGCAAAGATCCGAGGCACTGAGGGATAACACACACACACATGAAACTACTGGTTATGCACCCAGTTTGTATGAGCAGGACCACAGGTTGCATAATAGTGTGGTACATGTTAATTAGCATTAAAACAAATGCAAACTCGGCTTCAATCAAACAATATCCTATCGGTGTTGCAATAAAAGCAAATTTGGTCATCTGACATCCAAAGCACACTGATTTCAGAAGGGAGGGAGACGTTGGTTCATTCTGCTGTATGTGGAATCAGTAGCAGCACATTGTGTAACAGCCTGCGTGTTCTGTTCTGACTAGTCCGATGCAAACAGCCTTACTGCAGGAAGTCAGCGGTGCTGGAAATGACGCAGGACCACTGGGCCGCTTCCTACGGTGTTGATTGGACGATATCCTACTGAATCCAGTAGGCGGAGTGTGTAGGTTCCTTCAGGTCTGCACCTGCACGGTGACTTTAGGGGCTGATTGGATAATAACAGCTTTGCACGTCACGGCGAACATTGCCTAAACGAACACTCAAAGGCCTTTGCATTTGGTGCCACAGTAGCACCAACCAAATGTGGGACAATATTGTTAAAATACATGTAAAATGTAGGGCTGCAACAACGAATTGATAAAATCGGTTATTAAAAGCGTTGGCAACGAATTTCATTGTCGATTCGTTGTGTCGCGCGATTATTACGTCACTGAATGAGTTGCGGAGATGCGCGCGGAGCAAAAATAAAAATAAAGGTGCCGAGCCGCCGTAGAGGAAAGAGCAGCCGGCAGTTGTTGTGAGTCACATGACGCAGGGAGAGACGTCTGTTCGACTAGTCGTCTAAGGTGTGCGAGCGTGGGGGTCCCGGTCCACGTTGTCCCGTAACAAGCCTCCTGTTTACTCGTCATCCAGCTGATCAAGCTAGCGTTAGCTCGCTAATAACAGCGGTAAAGCAGTTAGCAAGACTAAGACACGTTTTTATTTACTCGCCTCTTTTGGACCTTTCATTTTTCAATGTGTGGTCTGATATTTTGTGCTTTGTCCCATATCGGTTAATGTTGACAAATATATTTGTGTGTGTTGTACTTTTTAGTGCTGTCATATACGGTAGTCCAGTGCGCTTGCGCATATACTGTGGGTTATACGGTAGTTGATATGCCTGTAAAGGGAGACACACGGTGATCCATTAAATCAACTAAGAGGCCTCTAATGCATTTATTTACAAATGCCATTTTAAATTCATCTCAAAGCACTTGGTTGTTTTTTAGCTGTATGCATTTACTTAACTTGCACTACAATGATGGTAATAATTTAATGAACATGAGGGTGTGTTTGTGAGTGTAGTATAGAGAACTAGTTCTGACGAATTTGAGGTTCTGTTTTAGAATAAAGGGTTGGAGCTTATTAATGCCATTTTTAAAAAAATCCGATTAATCGAAGAAATAATCGACCATCAAAATAATCGTTAGTTGCAGCCCTAGTAAAATGTTCATTTTTCATTAAGCGGAACCAATCATAGCCAATGCTAAATATCTCAACTGGACACTTAAGATGCTGAGGACAAGAGAGCGTAATTCAACTGTTGAAGCTACTTGAATCAGAAGCTGTCGATGGTCGTCGTCGTTTACCAGTGAGTCCTTCACACGTTGCTGTGTGTGCTAATAAACACATTGGTGCAGTATTAGTACACCAGCCAGAGTGGCCAGCTGTGCCCACCACACCTATGTCTTCAGTGGACATTTGGGTTAGTTTAAAACCACAGTATATGGGAATTTGTTGTATTAATATTGAGAAATAAAAAGGTTCTGTTCCTTTAGAGGAAAGGCACTGACCCCCCCTCCCCCCGATTCTACGGGCTGAATGGGGGTTTGTTGCAAAAGGCTGTGAAATGCTGGACAATGAAGGGTTTCTGGGGTGAAATTACTCCTGCTTGATGTCTCCCTTCAGCTTCCTCTTCACTCGAGAGAAAGGGCTCAGTGCATCGTCCATGATGAAGTCATACAGGACTTTCATCCAAGAGGTGTACTGAGGCAGGTCATCGTAGTACTCCGCCGCGATTTTCTTCACCTGCAAACAAAGAGGCAACAAAATGAACACGGCGTTCTGCTGGTGGCTGACTCCTCAAACAGCAGTCCGTACAGAACCACCGCGGGGTTACCTCACCTGGAGTAAAGCTCCCAAAATGAAACCTTAATACAAATGCCGGCTCCGCCCCACTGAGGCTCACAAACACCCAAACCACTAAATAAGGAGTAGCACCGTGGTCAAATTACCCAACACCAATCACATCAGACACTCAATCCATTTCATTATTTATTCATGTGCACCGTGTGCAGATTAAATACCACAAACAGGAGCACAAGTGCATATTGATACATTTGCCAGTTGACAATAAAATTCAAGTGAGAAAATATATATTTATTTTTGGACTCACCATGTAAAATCCTATTTGATAGTCATATCATCAAGATGACATATAAACAACTTTTTTTTTGTAGATGCTGGTTTAAAAGTTTCATCTCAATATGATTCGATATCGGCCCCAAACTCCCTTTGTCTCTGTCCTTCAGCACAAAGATGTGTGTTTGAGGACTTTGTTAGGCTCCTTCGCAAACGTGAAACCTCCCTCCTAACGTCCCGTAAGCGATGGCGGCGTGCGGCGTACTCACCAGGGGCAGCCGGCGTCCTGGGATGCTGGGGAAGTCGTGGTGCTCGTTGTGGTAGCCCACGTTGAAGGTGAGCAGGTTGAGGGAGCCATAGTAGGAGTAGGTCTCGTGGCCCTTGAGGAACATGTAGTGCTCAGCGATGAAATGCCCAGAGATGGGGTGCAAGCCCATCCCCAGCATGGAGCCAGCCAGCATGTAGAACACGGGCTTGGCCCCCCACAGCCAGCCGAGCAGGACGTCGAAGGCCAGCTGGACGACGACGTTGGTCACCTCCAGCTGAGTGATCGGTTTGGGGTTGATCCAGAGGGGCCGGATAGCGTAGAACAGCGGCTGCAGAATAATCCAGATGAATTTGCGGACGCGTGTGCAAAAGAACCACCCTTCAAACTCCGTGGGGATGTCCACGTCCACCCCGTCGCCCCCCAGGTAGCGGTGGTGGTCCAGGTGGTAGCGCTTGAAGGAGGCAGAGTAGGGCAGGCCAATGGGCAGGTTCGCAAACATGGCAAAGTAGCGATTCCACATTGCTTTGTTGTTTCCGAAGGCGGTGTTGTGCGAGATCTCGTGAATGGCGAGCGTCATTGAGTGGTTGATACAGCTGCCAAAGGCATAAGTCCAAAACAAGACCCACTTCCAGTCCAAGTCTTTGATCAGGTAGAAAGATAAAAACTGTACAGCCACCATCGTGCACACGATCCATTTCAGCCTCGGGTCAGGGCCCATCAGCGACTTGATCTCTGGGTATTTGGCTGCATAAGAAAAACAAGAGGCTTCCGTTAAACTCATTCAACATTCATATGTGGAAATGACACCATACATCGGAATTCCCAGGAAACCCCCCCCAGTCCTCTGCTGACAGGCCTGTTCTACCACTTAGTAAGCGGCAGAGCGCACATGCATAACAATAGTGCAAGCTGGCATACAAGAACATTTCTATTATTGTTAGAAATGTCAGAATTCTATTTGAAAGCAGATCAAATGTGTTACTAGAGAACATCCAAGAGGAAAGTGAGAATGGCTTCAGAACAAAGACTCCGACTACTTCCTTTAATTACAAAATAGATGCCACGGCTAAAGTGAACTGGCAGAAATAGCAGAAACAGAAATGCTTTGGACTGTATTTATCAGGGATATCGTACGACACTTTGGGCTGAAAGTGTTTCCACAGCAGAGTGACACGTTCACACGCTGCCAGCTTTCTTCTTCATCTTAATTCACAATTACTTGTTTTATATAGATTATTAGTTATCTTACTAAAAACCAAACTACCCCCGAGACAACGTCTAAAATACAAATTTTAATCCCATGTCAATTATTGTCATCAAACTATCGTTCTTCTAATGTTCACTCGTCACTTCCTGTTTGCTTAGTGCACTTTTTGTTATACATATTTAAAATTTTAAACCAACCCATAGCATTTTATTTTATTCCTCGTGTCGTCCAGTTTGCTGTCACGCACCAACCGCCAAGTCACATTCCTCGTATGTCTGACACATTATGGCAATAAATGATTCCTGATTATCATCGTCATTATTGTTGGACTGAACATTGTTTTACACTACAACGAATACGGATGTTTTATATTGGATTACTTTTCCATCTTCCAGCATGTGGTCAAAACATATGTTGAAAGAAGGTCTGAATCTATGAGCATGGAGTCAACATACGGAGGCAGATGATTCCTGCAGAGGACCGAGGCCTTCTGCAGGTACCAACGGGACAGTGTGGACACTCGGAGACAACCCGTCCCGTCCGACAGAGAGGACCATCGTGTCTGCGCACCGCTCAGCACCTGACAAGAGGTCAAATGCTAAACACAAAGAGTCTGTCACAAGACTTTATTATGGAACGTGGGCTGCTGGCGGCGGCTCGTAGCGCTGAAGAGCCGCCGCCAGATGTTCAGAGACTTCTAAATGGGACGCAGGGGGGGGGGGGGGGGGGGGGGGGTTGTTGACACAAAGCATCCAAATGCACAGAAATCCAGATCTCAGTAATCACCCTCATCAGTAACTTAGCGGTTTATTGCATTTCGGAATTCAACAATTTATAGTCGGAGTGTTTTGAAAACAATGTTGTTCTCTCTCAAAGATACAAACATCTGTCCCCGTTCACGCTAGAAGACCAGGGAGAATGTTGTAACAGAAACAGCATTTGAAAAACTGTGGAATTTCAACACAAGGACAAGTCTCAGCATACACCACCTCCTGTCACAGGATGCCCCCCCCCGCCTCCACCCACCTCCCCCAACCCCACAAGGCTGAGCTGGCCCTCAGTGGGAGAGGCCGGGGTCATGTGACTGCATACAGATGTGCGGTTTACAAGAAACAGCGAAGCTACATGGCGGGTTGACGGCGTCTCACTAGCCGGCGGGTTGAATGCTCGCGTTCGACTCATTGCAGGATTCGGTGAGACCTTTGAAAACAAGCGCACAGCCACGTCGGCTGCTCGATAAGTTCTTATCACCCAGAAAGCAACGTGTATCCTGTGTGCAGGCTGCCGGAGGGAGACGCCTCTGTTTGCAGGGGTATTCAATCCAATCGAACAAGGTCCATTAGGAGCAGACAGCTTACTGGGACGCACACACTGATTACGTGATGCTCACGTGACGGTTTCCCGGATGAAAATAAATGACATCAACCATTCCGAACAACAAGTTACCAATGTTGCTGACTGGGTTTTCGGTGATAGCAGCTGTAACGCAGTCAAATTCTTTCATTTTATAATGCTACCCCGCCTACGTGTGCAGGAAGTTATGTAAGCGCTTCTGTGACTTGTCATTTAGAAACCGCGCTACAGACGAGCAGCTGCACTGTTAGCAGGTAGAGTCCCACTACCACCGGATCGCTTAACCAGTGCTCCTTGAGCCCAAACTGCTCCGGGACCCGTTCAGGACATACATATGAATAAAGAAAAGATCCACTGGGACTATTGGAAGCAGTATTGAGTACTATCTATCCCAGCAGCGCCGGAGAGTCTCCTCCTGATAAATGCACTTTGATGCATTTATTGGGTGCAAAGATTGATAATCCAACCAGGGAGACCGTCCTGCTATCAATGAGTGTCTTTATTCGTGGTCTGAAGCTCAACGTGGTGGCAGTGAGTTTAGTGTGTGGAGGGAAGACGTTACTGATAGAGAGCTGTACAGAATACCACACATCCTAAATAATACGGAACCAGTCCGAGGGGAAGGACACAGATCTGATAGCTATCAAGGGGCGCATTGACACAAAAGGGGCCTTTGTGTTTGTCACAATGAAAGGAGCCTTCTATACGTGGCTGAGCCTTCAAAATCAACCATGACAATCATCCGTCATTGAGCCCGAAGTCAGATGGTCGGTTCAGTCGCCTTAAGTCGCCCAGCGCAGGTTCAATTTACTGTCAAAAAAGAAACGTGTGTGTCTGCGTGTCCAGTTCATCTGAGGGCGTGAGGTTGAAAGTGGGAAGCAGCTGAAGCCCCGTCGAGTCCACAGCGCTGAGTGGTCCTTTATTACGATTCTTGGGACAATAGCAAGAAGGATGGAGCCTGGTGGACCAGCGGCTATAACCCAACAACAAAGCCACCAACATCTGACAATATGGATATGATAAGAACAGATGCTATAATATCATTTCTACAGACAGAATAACTAAACCACCTACAAACTGACCGTCGATGATCGATAACTTGTATCAGCGGCCAAAACCCTCAGCGGGATCAAATGGGAATATTAGAAAATCAAACAGGAAGTGAGCCTCCATCTGACCCTCGGATGCCTGTGCTCAAAGGCACAAGGGAAGAAGGCGAGGAAGCACCAGAAGCCCGCCAACGCACGTGGAGTTTTAGATGTAACGGTATGAATTATAAACGATAAACGGCATGAATAAAAACATGTCGCTTTAGCGTTAGTTGCGCAACTAGTACGTGGTTTTCTACGCATGTGACGTAACCCTCAGACAGCCCACTGAACAACGTTACGCGATGTCTGAAGTGCGTCAGCGCGCTGTTCCGTTACGGCGGGTCGATCCGGCCCGGATGTGAACCGGTAAACCGTTACTCACTAGCGTCGTGTCCTTCAGGGAGGACTTTATGTTCCACTAACCCAACTACAGCACTCACGTTATACGTCTATCCATACTTTGATTAGAGACATGGCGGCGGACATTAGCCATCGACAGGAAAACCTCTCCCCGCGGAGACACGCAGCCGGGGAGGTGGAACCGTTAGCTAACGTTACGTTAGCATGAATGCTGCATTCGCCCCAGTTAACAGACGGACATCCAACAACACCGCTGGCAAACGGACGTGTGACTGTATCGTCCGAGCGGGACTCCCGTTAAATGCCGCTAGCTGCACCCAAAGGTTGCTGAGCGAACTCACCGAGTATCTCCTTTCTCCTGTCGGCGTGCGGCTGGTCCGTATACACCCATTCGTAGTCCTCACGCGCCACCCGGTTCCCCATTTATTTATTTAATCTCACGTTTCCGTTAAACACAACTTTCAGCGATAAATAAGTAACTGAGGTTAAATGTCACGCGATCGTTGAAAAGGGTTCTGTCCTCTCTCCTCAGACTCTCGGTCCACCCCGCTGACCCGAAAAGGCTGCTCCGCCCACACCGCGTAGCTCCTCCCACTCCGTGTAGCCCCTCCCACTCCCCCTCGTGGGGCGCAGAGGGGGAATCGTTGACTGACGCAGTTGTCGGTAGAAGTGACCTTGTATCACATTTTACCAATAAATAAGCTACAGGAGTGGATTCATCTTTGACTGTAAGAAAGGCGGGTTTATTGTATTATCCTTGTGGATGAACTGGTATCATTTTCTCCACTCAACATTTATTTTTACAATCTTGAAATGATGACGGCACATACACACATGTATGACAAGGTGGTACAACATGTCAACCAGGTGTTTAATTTGTACCTCCTTTCTAGAGGTAAACAAAAGCAGTGTATAGGTCAGAATAATAATGGAAATATACTGTAGGAACAGTAAAAGAAATAATATCAACTATAATAACAACTAGAAAGACAGAAGACATTTTGACAGTTCCTAAAATCACAAACTACAAATTTGCATGAGAGGGTCTGTACAGCATCCTCTGTCCCGAAACCCTCATCGGCACACTAAAAACCCCCCAAATGAAAAAAAAGAGAAGAAACCTTCGAGAGAGACAGAGGAGAATCCCTCTATCAGGATGCACAGAATGAACAACTTAAACGATGAAGGCTTACAGTGTAATATTTGCAGTAGTTATAGTTACCCTTTAGGTAATGGGTGAAGCATTACATCAACATTTAACTGTTCTGAAGCACTTACTTTAGAAAAAAGGCCACCACGCTTGCTGCTTGACTGCAAATAAATATCAAAAAGTCTAGTTTCTAACATGAAAGCCATTTTAAAAATGGCTTTCATGTTAGAAACGAGACTTTTTCCCTCAGACAAATGTCATACACTTTCTTTGTTGAAATCCCTTTTCTAAAATCTTACACAAAATAAATAAGAACATTTATCTCCATTAAATATTCAAGGTCAAAAACAGTTGACCTTTACTGCTTTACTGCATTCCAACAACACCTGGATAAAGTGACCCTCCTGATCACATCATCCTGTGGGGTGAATGACGGAGGCACTACGCCCTCAAGTGGTGAAACAGCCTGGAGCATCCTTCATAAGCCAAATAATGAACATGGAAAGTGGAAAAAGTCAAGACTATCTTTGTTTGCTTTCACAGTGTCCATTTCAAAAGCCTTCTGAGCCCAGATGTGAGCATACAAAAGGGCAATGTGCCTGACGGTTCTCATTCAAACTTGATAAAACCGAAGCTGGAGCTCCCACCAGCCACACGTGTCCCAGGGAATCCATCTCAGTTTTGCGCTTGTCCAGCCACAAGAAGTCCTCGACCCACAGCTACCCTGGTTTGTCTTGTGTTTGCTCGGCGTTGGAGCCATAATGCAGGTTTTGGGCCTTTTGTTCATTTGGAGGGAAACGCCGGGTGATTTGGGATATGCAGTTCCTGCATTTGACCACAGGGAGGCACATCGCTATGGAAATGCCTTCCAGTGGGTGCCTGCTAACGTGCACAGGTGTGGATAGGAAGCAGCCAGTCATCGAGGTGGCGTCAGTGCTGTAGTGGTAAAATTAGAGGTGGGTAAACTCTGAATTTTGTGATCATACAGACCTCGACGCAATGTGAAGCAACGCAACACAAAGCGTCGCGACTCTTGTAAGGCTGTCCTGGCTATATTGCATTATGTTATCAGTAAAAGTCATATACAATCAATGACAATGAATATATGTGTATGAACAACATAAGTTAAAGGAACACTCATGTACTACCTACGTCATCATAAATAGCCCATACAGCATGTTTTTTTTCACGTTGAGAACTGACTTGTTTTGTAATCTACGCGTCACCAGGCGTTTTTCTTGTCCTTTTACCACGACAGCGCGCGACTACTACCCCCCCGTCGGTAGTTCCGCCCGCAACGACTACTACACCCCCCCCGTCGGACCTTCTCGACCGGTCCGGGAAATATTGTCTGACATGAAACCGGTCCGTGAGGTAAGAAAGGTCGGGGACCACTGGGCTGATCCACAACGTGTGTTTACACACCTCCTGGATCCTGATTGGTCGCTGCTGCAGCCGCAAGGCACTGATTGGATGCTCACAGATCGTAATACAGCGCAGATGAACATGATTCAGACTACGGCGTTTATATGTTCAACAATAGGAAACGTAGTCTTAGCTGTTTTAAAATTACACCAAGTTTATTTCGGATTATTCCAAAGGAAGAATACAAGGCGCAGGGAACTTTGAGGTGCGTAAACGCTATTTATAGGTGCGTAAACGCTATTTCCAAAATTATAGAGGTGCATAAACGGCGTTTACGTGCGTTTACCCTCCACTACAGCCCTGGTTATATTATATAGTTTATCACTATATAATAATTTTTACTTGTATGGTGACTAACCATTTAACTTCATGCCCCCTCAACGGTAAAACATATTAATTAATTAATGAATTTAGTATTTAGTAATAGAACATAACAAATAAAAAAGGACAACTAGATGTGTTAATGATTGTCTTGAACATCAACCCCGAGAACAAACCTTCTGATTCGTTGGCTGATTTTAGTCACTAAAGATGGTTGAGATAAAGTTACCATTAACATTGGAGTGAGTATTAGAATATTTAGAATTTGTCATTTTGGGAGCAGTTAGTACACATTTGTCTGATCCGTTTTTTATCATATTTATTTATTCATCTATCTAAACTGTAGGAATGTTGAATGGCTGCAGCTCGCATGCTGCAGCGTGGCGGTTCATTGAGTTTCTGATTGACAGCGTGGGAGAGAAGATGTCGTCTGTCGCCCAGCAGCAGAGAGAACGAACAGACATCCGTAACTCTGGAGTTGCAATTGACTGCGTCATTAAAGACGCTCACACGTCCCGATGAACTTGGGGTTTGAATTTGCTTTATTTGTAGAGAATTGAACTTGTTTGTGCTTTGAGTTGCCTGACTTCATTTTTTAGAAGCATTCATGTTTTAATCAAAATGTTCCATATCGGAAACATGTTCATTGACTAAATATTCTCTTCTTCTTCCGCCTGATGTCTGATTACAGGAGCAAGGAACAAGGAACAAGTGAGTCAACAATTGAAATCAGGCTTAAAATGTCGACTGAAAACTTTGTGTGTCATTAAATACACAAACGCTCATTAACTCAAGATCATTGTTGTTTCACTTCATTCAAGTCAACGAGTAATAAAGAACATGTGATTCTCTTTGGTCTGAAGAAAACAAGACGGATTCATTTGGTTTTATTTTTATTAAAATTTATTTTCATTGTTAAAATAATAAACAGACGACATATTTAACAATAATAATAATACAATCATTGGGAAAATATCTGAAGCAGTTCCTGAGAAGAGAGAAAAGAAGAAAAGTTATTAACATGTTAATGTTGTTAGTGTGTCTGTGTGTACATCTAAATGTTAGTGTGTCTGTGTGTACATCTAAATATTAATATGTCTTTGTGAACATCTAAATATTAGTGTGTCTTTGGTTAGAACCAAATGTTAGTGTGTCTGTGTGTACATCTAAATATTAATATGTCTTTGTGTACATCTAAATATTAGTGTGTGTCTTTGTGTACATCTAAATGTTAGTGTGTGTCATTGTTTAGAACCAAATGATAGTGTGTCTGTGTGTACATGTAATTGTTAGTGTGTGTCTTTGTGTACATCTAAATATTAGTGTGTGTCTTTGTTTAGAACCAAATAATAGTGTGTCTGTGTGTGTCTAAATTTGCCAGCGTGTCTAAATGTTAGTGTGTCTCTGAGTACATCTGTGTGTGTGTGTGTGTGTGGGTGTGTGTGTGTGTCATGAGTAGATCTTGATTTGCTCCTGAGGGGTTGACGCGGCGTCCTTAAGGCGTCCTGATGGAATCCTGATGGTGTCCCGATGACGTCCTGATGGCGTCCTGTTGGTCTGCAGACAAGGAGAAGAGACGTGAGGAGGATCATCAGGATGTGTCTGTGTGTACATCTAATTGTTAGTGTGTCTGTGTGTACATCTAATTGTTAGTGTGTCCGTGTGTACATCTAATTGTTAGTCTGTCTGTGTGTAGATCTAATTGTTAGTGTGTCTGTGTGTACATCTAATTGTTATTGTGTCTTTGTGTACATCTAAATATTAGTGTGTGTCTTTGTTTAGAACCAAATGTTAGTGTGTCTGTGTGTACATCTAAATATGAATGTGTCTTTGTGTACATTTAAATGTTAATGTGTGTCTTTGTTTAGAACCAAATGTTAGTGTGTCTGTGTGTACATCTAATTGTTAGTGTGTCTGTGTGTACATCTAAATATGAATGTGTCTTTGTGTTCATTTAAATGTTAATGTGTGTCTTTGTTTAGAACCAAATGTTAGTGTGTCTGTGTGTACATCTAATTGTTAGTGTGTCTGTGTGTGGATCTAATTGTTAGTGTGTCTGTGTGTACATCTAATTGTTATTGTGTCTTTGCGTACATCTAAATGTTAGTGTGTCTGTGTGTACATCTAAATATTAATATGTCTTTGTGTACATCTAAATATTAGTGTGTGTCTTTGTTTAGAACCAAATGTTAACGTGTCTCTGAGTACATCTGTGTGTGTGTGTGTGTGTGTGTGTGTGTGTGTCATGAGTAGATCTTGATTTGCTCCTGAGGGGTTGACGCGGCGTCCTTAAGGCGTCCTGATGGAATCCTGATGGCGTCCCGATGACGTCCTGATGGCGTCCTGTTGGTCTGCAGACAAGGAGAAGAGACGTGAGGAGGATCATCAGGATGTGTCTGTGTGTACATCTAATTGTTAGTGTGTCCGTGTGTACATCTAATTGTTAGTGTGTCTGTGTGTAGATCTAATTGTTATTGTGTCTTTGTGTACATCTAAATATTAGTGTGTGTCTTTGTTTAGAACCAAACGTTAGTGTGTCTGTGTGTACATCTAATTGTTAGTGCGTCTGTGTGTGGATCCAATTGTTAGTGTGTCTGTGTGTACATCTAATTGTTAGTGTGTCTGTGTGTACATCTAAATATTAATATGTCTTTGTGTACATCAAATTGTGAGT